ACAATGTGCTAGTCCTGTGCTAAGTATTTTTCCTCTATCTCAGTAGACAAGTTATGATGAGTACGTTTTACATGTGAGGAAATGGAAGATTAAGCACCCAACGTGACATGCTGAGAAAGGCTGATCTTTCTCAGATCCCGAGTTATGTTCTCTTAACTTCTGTACTACATCCTTCACAATTCTGATAACCTAAGCATGTTTTCCTTGATGATACTGAGATTTGAGTCTGGTACTTGTCTCTACGAATCTAGCTTGGGGTCTCATTGGTTTACTCAGTGTTTACTCATTGGTGTTTCAAGATATATTTCGAAGGAGAAGGCGGCATGATTAAACACACTTAGGAAATGGGAGGTAGGTTGCAAGTTAAACTTCTGCAAAAGCCAGGTAAATCTGAGCTTTGAGGCTCCAGCTTTATCTGTAAAAGGGAAGGATACATGAGCAACTTGAAATTCTGAGGATTCCTCCACATTTATGGCTAAACAAAAGCCAAGAGCAAATGGTTTCTGAGGTCCCACAGCTGGTGAAACTAGAATTAGGTCCTGAGAGTCTTCTCCAGTGCACTGTGTTCACATTAGTCCTCTTAGAAGTTTGTGGGGAATTCCTATCTAGAGCCTTCATATTAGGCCTGAATATCAAAAGTTTTTGTGAGTCACTTAAGCCTCTTCTCTTTGGCCTTTACTGGCCACCTGAGTTGATGTTGTTATTAGAAATGAGTCCTAAGGTGCTGTATAAAAACTGCTTTGTTGGTAAAAATGTGAGCTATAATGGGTGGTCCTAGAAGTTAACTCTCTTCCCACCTTTAGTTCTCCTGCCATCAAGTATTTTCCAAATGATGTACTTATGGAAACATTTAAATGGAAAACCAGTGAGAACTGAGAAAAATCAGATAACTGTCTTCTTAACATACTGCTGCACTGAAAGCTGAATAAATTCAGTATACTGAGTATATACACCCTCCCATACAGAAAACCTTGTATCAGAAATGTCTAAAAATAAAACTTCAGGCATAATGCTTCATTTAAAGGGTTAGTGGGGTTTTAGTTGGAATGTGGAGTTCTGTTTCTATCATGAGAAATTGTATAAGGCATCTTTCTGTTGACAGTAACCTATGCAGGTTTTACAGTTCAGAAGCTGGTAGTAGGTTCACATTGAGTGCACGTGATGCTCCAAACATGTTAATATGAAAATTTAGAACATGGTTCAGCAATGTCAAAGAACAGACTAATTTTAAAAACCTGTAAATTTGATGTAAACGAAGTAAAAAAAAAAATCACTGTGTAGAATGCTCTCCTAGGTTTTTGGTTATGTAAAGTATCCTGGAACGGGTAACCTTGAGTACCAGTTAACGTGAATGACCTAAGCTCTGCTTTTAGCTTTTGGACTGCTGTACAGTGTGCTGTTTATTGACTTAGAGCCAGCTACTGCCTTAGCAACAAGATATATTTAAATGAAAGTTGCCAGGAAAAAAAAAAAAAAAAAAACGAGATATGTATGTATCTCTTATCTTGTGTCACCTATTACTCCTGACCCAGTAATAGAACAGTCCAGTGATACAAGATAATCTGTTATGGTTAACATTTGCTGCCACCTTACTGCTGTTTAAATTAATGAAATTTCAAATATATATTTGCATTTTCATTTACAACTTAAGACAGCAAGTTAGTTGCAAAGGGAAGCTCAAAGAGCTTGAAATATAAGCACCAGGCAACAATTAAGTATCAATTGTTTATCTGAAAAAGCTATTGGAAAATACTTTTAATGAAAATGGTCTCTAAAACTAAAAAACCAGTACATACATTTTACAGTTGGTCCAGTTAAGAGGATACAAATGTGTAAAAACTTTTAGCAAAAACAAACACCAGTCACTGAAATGCCAAGAAATTCAAGAAACTATTAAGTAGCATACTTAATACTGGGGCTGTTAAGACTCAAAGTAATTAAAATTCAAAGTAAAATTACTTTGTTCTTGCTTTGAGTATCTTATCGATTGCATTCAGCATAGTTGAAAATGAGATGGATACATAGTGAAACAAAAACCACTTAAATTCAGCATACTCCTTATGAGAATAGTTGAGCATTTGGTTAGGTGTTATCTAGTGTCTCACATGTGACTAGACTCAAACTGTATTAATATTGGAAGGGCCTTACAAATACCAACTAGTGCAGCTCTCTCTGGTTGGATAAAATTGAAAACAGAGAAAGTTAATAGAACTAAAATAGTGGCTTCTAATTCTGTACTGTTACTTAAAGCATCTTTTTGAGTTACCAAAGGAAGAAATAAACAAATGGACTGTGGGAAAGCATCTCACAAAACTGCAGTAGTTTTTCCAGAACTATTGTGAGCCTTGCCTCAGTACTGGAGATAATAGTACAGAAGATACAGAGGATCCTGAATCCAGAGTGATACACTGATACTTTTTAAAAAATTGTATTTAGATTGAACCATAGGAAATTGCTAAGTTGATCATTTTTGACCCACAAAAGTGGTAATTTCTTACTGTTCAATCTAATGAACATAAATCAGTTTTAAGTTAACACCACTTGCCAAGTCTGACTACAGCAGATTGCAGTTACTGCTTTATTTCAAAAGCTCCTGAAATAAAACCAAATGCTATCATAGATTAACATGAGTTATTAGCAACTATAGTCCATAAGTAAATGTTCTAATAAAGAACTAAAATTTAAGAGGTGTGCCTAGCAAATTCACTATAGCAGACAGATATGACAAAATATAGGGGATCCAAACCACGTAGCAAAGACAGGAAGACTGAGACAATAACAAGCATCCTTTTCTTTGGGAATTTGCCAAAACAGTAGATTTGAGTTCAATTCCAAGTTCCTTGAAACCTTCCAGAAGAAAATTCAGATGTAATTTTCCTTTACTGTCATTCTTAACCACCAGTCACCTGTCCCTGGACATTACGTCCCTAGACATACCGTTTTCCATTTTTATCTGTCCTTAAAAGGCAGCAGCCTATGAAACCACTAGTCGGTTTGAGCCTCAAAAGGGTAAATGTGTTTGCAGAGGAAACAAATGGTACTGTTTCTCAAGACCCTCCTTAGGTTACAAAACACTAGACACACACGGTAGCTACAAAAACACGTGACAGCACAGCAGCAATGGAACCCAGCAGCTCAATAAAGTTTCTGTGAACTCACCGGTTTGATGTGCTGCTTCTAATTCCACGTTAAAAATACATGATTATTTCAAAATGAAGATTTGTGTATTTCTATTATACTGTTGCCAATTATGTCTTAAGTGTTACCAGAGACACCATTTTATACACATTTTAGGCCCCTTTAAGGTTTAACAAAGGTTACGCCTAAGCCGAGAATCCTAGGGCTTCCAAAGTTTCAGGAAAAGCTGGTCATTTTTGCTACCATATAATCTCAGCTGCTACTGCATGATTCAGTTCAGGTATCATATATGAATTCATACATATATATGCTGAAACATTGTTGGAACTGCACAAGATCTTCCAGAATACTTTTTTTCTCTTTAAAGAGACAAGGTCTCACTGACCCAGAATTTCTGAGCTCAAATGATGCTCCCGCCTCAGGCTCCTGAGTAGCTAGACCCAGAGGCATGAGCACCCTGGCTCCAGAATGCTTTTGCTGGGGGGGCTGTTCAGTGTACTGGCAAGTTCCTCCCGTAGCAACATCTCGCCTAACAAGGATAGCCGCCAACAAGACAGACCCCTCTTAAATACACTTAGAAGGCTATCTGAATTAAACATGGCTATGCTGGGCTCTTAAAAAAAAAAAAAAATGCATTTTAATCACAATTCTACAGTACCTGTATTTTTAGAGGCAAGACATGGGGGGTTTAGTCATTTGTAAAATAATGAATTTCGTGTGGTTATTGCTAATATGAAGATCCGGTTAAGCTATCCTCACGCTTTTTGATTATTCCATTCCCAGTGAAACAATCCTTATGGAAAAGGGATTTTACTACATGGGAGAAAATGAAAAGTCATTTTTTTCCTTTACCACATTTGCCAATTTTGGCATTAAAATTATTCTAATACCTTATAATTTTTAACCCAATTATGCAAGAGAACTGAGGCAATTTAAATCTGTTCCTAGCTTTGATTTCAAAAAAAAGACATTTGCAGGTAAATGTTTAAATATCAGGATATGAAATTACTGGATACCTTTTATATATAAAGGACAGGAGTTGCACTACTCACCCCTTTAAAATTATGCTGTCAAAAAACAGAAGGCCTTAGGAAAAAGCATTTAACACAACCACATTTAAACCTTAATTAGAATAAATCTGAGGGATAGGGTTATATACATTGACCTGGCAAATTTTACATTTTTAACTATATCCTTAAGATCATATAAAATCACATTTGTATGCACATAAAAAATTAACTGCACACAAAAAACACTTTTCATATGCCCAATAATACAAAGGACTGTCACTCTTTCTCAGTGGGCCATGTAATATTTGATTTGACCTGACAATTAGCTGTACTAATTATTGTACCATTGTTCTCTAAAACAAACTTCATGTTATCTTCATAAAATTAGGCTCTGGCTAAAATATATACCTAAAGTTTAATTGATTTTCAGTCACTGGTAGGAGAGCCTTCAAAATAAGTTACTTGAAAATCAAGAAGCAAATCATTGGCCTATTATTTAAAAATTGCTTGTCATACCTGCTACCCCCCCATTGTCTTCCAAAGTTGCCTTTGATTAGAATTTAGTTTTTTCCCCTAATATCACATGTATTATTATTATTAATTAGCTATGCATCTAACAGCCTAAGCTTGTGTTAAAATTTCAGGATTCTTAAAAAATAATTAAATAGCCAACTGACATTTTAATGCTATTTATGAGCAAGTATAAATGCTTTTTAAAGAGCAAAGTATAGGATAGTATACTTTGCTCTTTAAAAAGCAAAAGCATAGGCTAATCCTAAGCCTACAAATAGCTCCAACTACTTTGCAACAATTGGTGTAAAAAGTAGAAAGTTAAAAAAAAAAATCAGCAAATGGAAGATCAAAGTTTATTTACTACCTGCATACAAAAACATATTGCACATCAAACAACCAAAATTAAAAAAAAAAAAGAAAAAAGATACTCTACTGAAGACTAACATGTAGTTTATACAGAATAAACCTTCTGGAAATTGATCATCTCAGTAGTTCAGGTTATGTCTGAATGGACATGACTAATAATTCAGCTTAGTGTTTTAACTAAAGCTATGTTTGATTTTTAAATACTGTACACTTTAATAAATAAACCAAACAAAGCCTCAAGGTAGAACAGTCACTGCCAAATATCACCCAGTGTCCCTGCAGATTAGAGTTTAACAAATGTATTCCAGTGGTCTGCAGATTTTCCTCTACATACAGCATTTAAAAAAACACATTAAAACAGACCAGTTTCCAGACTAAACTAATGAAGAAATTACAATTCAGTGCAAAATATTGTAGACTGCATTTCATTCTAGTTTTCCTCAGGTGAAGAAGTGGTTGCATATTAAAAATGTAACAAAAGCAGCTAATGCTTTCATAAAGAATATTGTTAGGGATTCCCCCCACCCTCCACCCCCCATCTCTGCCATATTTTGAAAACAAAATAACATTTTTTCCTATAGCCAGCAACTTTTTTTTAATGTTACATATACTATTCTCAAGGCACATCTGATGATATATTTTATAACACAGTAGGTGTCAAAGTTATGTTTAACATATGATTTCCTCAGGATCCCTCCCCTTTTTGAATTCCAAATGGAGGAACTGAAAGTGCGATGTAAAGACTGGCGATCCATATTCTATCTTTGGCAAGCTTGTACAAGCACTATTGTAAATGTAATGTAAAAGAACTGTAAACTAGGAACATCTTCAGTTTATGAAACACCATTCAGGACTGCTGCTTCTTGAGTGTTTTCTTCTTTTAGGTTATTAATCTTTTCTTCTCCTGGAGTGCGCTGTAGCTTAGCAATGTCATCGCCAGAAGCACTAGTTGGGCCATTTATTGCCTTTTCTGAAGGACCATGCTCTTCAATCACATCTTTTGCCTGCCAAAGGGAGACAACTTTTTCAACTTCTTTATAAATGAAATCTATAGCTGAGGAGGAAAACAGCTACATAAACATTAATTAGCTAATTAAAACTTTCAGTTTCATACGCCAAAATGGATCAAAGTATTAAAACGTCTTTAAAATTCAAAACAAATAGCAAAGTATTCCACTCTATGGGTCTTTCAACTTTGTATCTCTTAGCAGTGCCCAAACCACACAAAACGTGCACTAATAAAAACTGTACCTAATTTTAAAACACTGGAAAGCTCACCGTGTAAATCACATGAACAGTTATTACTAAATAAATACTCACCTTTTTTTGAAAAATCACATTTACATATCAAATACCTTAAAGCATTTAAAAGAACTAAAATTTAAAAGGTCTATATCCATCAATGAGAAGACATATATATATAGCCTATTGCTCCTGAATTAAGCAATAGTCTGTATGCCCAGTATCTTTGGGCAGACTGAATTTTATAAACGCTATTTGAAGTTCTACCTAAAAAGTATTTCAGGCTCTAGCATGCATATCTTTAGTTACGTGGGGCCAAGAACAAATTCAAGAGTCTTTAACTAAAATAGTATTGTCTACTTGTGGAAACAAGTGATCACACAGTAATAGTAGTAAAAAAAAAAAATAAAAGCTAAACCATACCAAAAATTTAAAAACCTACAGGTTAAATTCTCCTTACCATTTCTTTCTTGTTTTTAGCCAAAGTTTCCTTTGGGAGGTTTCTTTGTCTGCTCTGAGACTCAGCTCTAGAAATATAATCTGCAACTGTGACTGTTAAAGATGAGAAAAAAATTACAGGTGTTGAAAAAATATTTCTAAAGTTGATGGCTAAAGAGTAATTTCACTATTAAACTAGTGGTGGGTCACCCAGTGTCAAAATTTTCTTAAGCTGGGTATCACCTCCAACCAAAAACCAAGCTTGAAAAATCTGCCTTGGCTTTTGGGCTGAAGAAAATTTCAACTTGAGATTGAGGAAGTCTAGATTAAAGTCCTCTTTCCCAAGAATCCAGCTATTTGTTTCTGGTTAGACCTAAGGTTGCGGAACAAAGTTTGTAGAAAAACCCACAACCAGCAAAAGAAGTACAGATGCAGTGTTCTAAGCCCAGTGTTGGCAATTATCAGTGGGGGTAAATGAGGCAAATTTGGTGTAAATCATGGATAAATTTCATCAGATACAAAAAGTCTGGTTTTTTCAAGCACAATTAAGATATCCAAGTGTGGTTTACTCTATGGTTCTGTTTTAACGTTTCACACTAGAAACAATTCTGTGTGATTAAAATAACAAACTACAAGCAAACTGAAGCTGACAGACCACCACCCTAAAGATCTGGACATTGATCAGAGTAGGAAAAGGTTCAGAGTGTAATCAATGACACCCCTTCCACGCCCCCACTGCCAGTCTTGGTAGGGACTGTCTGAAATGTGTGCAAAGAAATGGCAGTAATGGATTAGGAAAAAGACTAAACTCAAGCCAACACCCTACTGTTAACCAAACTTCAACAAATGACCTATGTTCTACAGTATGTGGACTGCCATTTTATACCTCAGCACTTTCTCTTCAAGAATTGAAACTTAGGGCTGGGTGTGGTGGCTCACACCTATAAATCCAGCACTTTGGGAGGCCAGGATGGTCCTGAGGTCAGGAGTTTGAGACCAGCCTGACCAACATGTTGAAACCTGGTCTCTAACAATGCAAAATTAGCCGGGCATGGTGGCACATGCCTGTTAATTCAAGCTACTTGGGAGGCTGAGACAAGAGAATCACTTGAACCCGGGAGGCAGAGGTTGCAGTGGGCCAAGATCTGCCACACTGCACTCCAGCCTGGGTAACAAGACCGAAACTCTGTCTCAAAAACAAAGAATTAAAACTTAGATTTCACTGTTTTTAAGAAAGATCCACCCTTTATTTTCTATCACAAACTGTTTTAGAAAATCGCTGATATATAAGAGCAGTTTATCTTTTAAATTACGGGAGGAAGTTAATTATGTAAAGAATAAAAACTCAGGTAAATTTAAAATTATTTATTTAAAGTCACTACATATGGGGAGAATTGGTCCATAAAGTATAAATTCTATGAAAACAACTAAATCATTCTGGCATAATAAAAAGCTGGATAGTATTTACAATTCATGTTTCCTAATTATGAATTAACATGCAAACACTTTTTAAGATCCAATAACTTTCTAGAACTATTAAATCAATCTGTTAAAATCACAAAGAAACAACCTATTTCAGAACTTAAATACATCATTTAACCAGAAAACCACTAAAGATGTTTCAAATCTGAAAACTGACTTTCCTCCCAAACTGGAAGAAACTCAGTACGCTCATCTTAAAGCTTTTTATTTAAATTTATTGCTAATATGCGTATTAACTACATTAAAGAGTTTATAATACCGGGAGCAGAGCTGTCATAATCCACTTTATTATGTCTACATACATGGTAGCAAACCCATTACAAGAACAATTCTAGCCAGTGTGGGGAACAGCGTAACAAATGCACTGTTTCCAAGTTCAGCCCTCAGTGACACATAGGAAAACTCATCTAATTGGAAACCCTGCTGCTAAATCAGGTTGGTGCCAAAGTAATTGTGGTTTTTGCCATTTTCGGGTAGGTGCAAAAACTTACCAACCTAACACGTTTAAACAATTCCTAGAACCATTCATCCACTGTGTACCGAGACAGAATAATGTATTTTAGTTATCAACTAAATTAACAAGCAATTAGCTGGACTATCCCCTACCCAAATAAAATGAAGCCAAGAGAAACCTGTTAATTCAAATAAAAACCTGTTTATAGCCAGTGCTTATAATATAAGCCCCTTACAAGTCCAATACAGATTAATAAATAGTATCTAGAAAAAATACAGCAATTGTATATAATGACTTGGACTCTTGAACTTCCTCTAAAGGATCCAAGTTAATCAACTGGACACAGGTGTATACTGTCACATTCTAAGCGTGGAAAAGAATATTCACTGCTTAATTTACACTAAGAGCAACAAGATATTTTGAGCAGATGAGATCAAATTAAGTGAATGTTTAAAAGAGAATGTTGACGTTAACTTTGGATGGAGGCTGCCCCCTACAACTGCTGCTAGGACAAAGAGTAACAATTTTGTGCTTGTTTCACCCACCCCGTCTTTTGGGAGAAGGGGCAAGCTAGGGAGTGCAAGGAGTTTTAAAAGCAAAACTAGTAATCCCAAGCAGAAGCAAAACAGGAATAGATGCAGCATGGAACACACTTCACTGTCAAATTGTTGAAACCTCCAAACCACTCAAGTTGCAATTAATACCATACAGAAATTTTTGCCTCTTCTCCAACAAACCCCACTGTTACTTCTTTTATGCCTGTTGACTTGGTAATAAACCACCATACATCTAGTTAATAAATGTAATATATCCTATGTTAAGCCCATACTGGTATCCTGAATTTTCTTGTTTATAAAGTAGGGCCTGATAACGTATTCACTGCTGTGTCATCTTCAAACAATGAAATGATCTCTTCATCTAAAACATTTCTTTTTTTAGAGACTGGGTCTCACTCTGTCATCCAGGCTGGATGCTGTGGCACAATCACTATTCACCACAGCCTCCACCTCCCAGGTTAAAGTGATTCTCCCACTTCAGCCTCCAGAGTAGCTGGTGCAACAGGTGTGCACTACCACACCCAGCTAGTTTTTATATTTTAGACAGGATCCCACTACGCTGCCCAAGCTGGTCTCAAATTCCTGGGCTCAAGCAATCCTCCTAGCTTGGCCTCCCAAAGTGCGGGGATCACAGGTATGAGGTACCAAGCCCAGGCTTAAATATATTCTCAACATTAAAGGAGAGGATAGAAGGAAAAGGAAAACTTATTTTTTCTGGACACTTTTAACTTCTGACAATATTTAATTGCTCTAAAAATTTCCAACTATCTTTAAAACATGAACTTTCAGGGATGGGAACTAATTTCCTTAAACAGTTTTACCAAATGTCTCTACAACCACTAAATTTAAAATAGTAAAGAAGCCAGAATTTACATTTTTATTTGGGGAAAACACATGAAAGAACTGGTTTTGTAAAGAATGCAAAAATGGATTTGTTTGAAAGGGGTTTATTTCTGGTGCACACAATTTCTTCACTGTGAATATACATGTGATTCTCTATACACAGGAAATGGAATTATGTTCAAAATAATAGACATAGCAAACAAGTTTCTTTAAAGTTAAAAATTAATGACTACATCAAATAAACATTCTAAAACTAAGTAAGTACTATTAATTTGAATAGTTAGTAGGTGTAAAAGGCATCACACTACAGTAAACAAACAAAAACATAACATGCATTCCTCTTATTAGGTGAAAGACACTTTCAAGTATTTTTCTCTTTTATACTTTTTTTTTTAATTTGTGGGTATTACAACTCCCACAAAAATGAGGTGCTGAATTCAGATATAGGAAGCAGGCACCATGCAAAAGCTGCCCAGTTTTGCCAATCAATCTCAATCACAATTACAACATAGCCCCTGGGATGGCAGGCCTCATCTCAAGTGTGAAGAAAATGCCAAGTGAACAAAATGGTCTTCTCAACAGTCTTTCCATGTAAACAATTGAGACAACATTAGTTTAATTAGACAAGTTACTAACACTTACGCTGTGAAGGAAGAATGCATTTTCTTAGTAGTAGTCTTATTAGTTGAATAAAAAAACTTATGCAATGCAAATTTTGAATTTATATGCACACGTGTACATGTAAGTATAATATATTTAGAAAGCAGGCATATGACATTTTTTTCATGCTTGTGACCTGATGTTGTCAACAGGTCCACTCAAGTTACCTGGCTGTCTATCTTCTGCCTGACCCCTGAAGCGACGCCTGCGGCTACGATTGCGTCGCTGGGGTTTTTTTTCACTATCATCTGTAATTGCAAAGTTTACCATGAACTATTCTGACAAAAACAAACAAAAAAAACAAACAAAAAACCTTCTTTCTTTCAAAGATTTAAAGAAGGGGAAAGAAACTTTTAATTAAACACCAAAAGTAAAACAATAAATGTTTACTGACAGGAAATACATTTTTGTAGCTTTCAGCATTCCAAATGGATTAGAAATGGAATTATCATCTGGAAATTAAGAGGGTTTTAACTCACAGTAAAACAAACTCTCAGACTTAAACTGCCATCATTCGGGGACACCATTTTCCTCTCTGGTACAGTGTGGTTTATACTGAAGTTAATGACATTTTAGCCCTTGAAAATTAATGCCTACTCCTGATATATATATATAATATATATATATACATACATACACCTTTAGCAGTGTCATTTATAATTATTTTAAAAGAGGCATGATGAAAGCCTGATTTTAGTTTGGGGACAATAAAAGCACTAAGTACCCTGCAGTTTGAATATCTGTATTGATTTAATGGCATCAAAGGGTACTTTAACCCTTCAAGTTTCAAATAATTTGGCTCTAACAAATATCAGAACTAAACATTTAAGACAGACAAAAAAGCTATCTACCTTGTTCAAAGTAAACACTAAGAAGTCAATTTGTGAACTGCATACTTTCTTTGAAAAAAGCTTCATACACTAACAATAGTAGTTTTATACGTCTGTGTGTGTGTGTGTGTGTGTGTATCTTTTCCCTAAGTGCTTACATACCTAGCCCATTTTCATTAACTGAGGCTGTATCAGATTCAGTCATTCCATCCATCAGAACAGCATCTTCATCAGTCCTTCGTCTACGAGACCGCCTACGACGGTTAGTACTGTGATGAGACTCGCTGGCATCAGTGTCTGCAGTCTGATCTGATTCTGTATTATCAAGTAAGCTGTATGGATTGCTGTCTGGATCTTTGAGCACTATATTCATGTCAGAGGCAAGAAATATTCGTTTAAGAGGGCTGCAATTATGAATGTTTGATCTATACTGAAATATATCAATTAATGATAAACTTCAATCTCCCCCAATAAAAATGCACTGTCTTCAAACAAAATCTTTTCAATATCATTATTTTACCTGGAAAATAGCAAAGATAATTAAATATGATAAAACTTTGGATGGTGATGAAAAAATTAAAGCAGAAAGTGAGCAGACATCTTGGCTTGCTAACATTTCTTGTGCCTTGTTTTTTTTTTTTAAATATTCATTAGAAAATAGTGTATTAAATGCTAATTTTGACATTCACATTTCAAGGTAATCCTGCCCAGAGGCTAGAAAAGCAGAAATGAAAAGAAATAAATATTCAGCTGTTAAAAATCATTACAAGAGCTTTCGTCCCCTTAACTGAGTTCAAAATGACTGCAGCTTTGTTGTGCTGATGCTGATGGACTATTTCCAAATAATACATGCACTCCATGACATGTAAGAAATCTGTAACTATGAACTGAAGCAATCAAAACAAGTTTAAATAAAAAAGCCAATTAGGTTGAACTTGTAACTGGTTATGAAAGGAAAATGTTGAAATGAATGTTGACTAGCACTCTATTTTTAGAAATAATGTGTGAAGGAGAGGAGAAGGTGGAAAAAGAAAAACTATAAGGTGTAATTTGTAAGAAAAATACCCATCTTACCTATGTGCATTTATTGCTTCCAACAATCAAATTTATAGGAGAAATTCACCTAATTCCGATTTTTCCTAAGATTCCTTTGGTAACAGCTAGCAAGCTAAGCATCTTTGCAAAAGACACTAAGTTTATCCATTAATCATAAACACTAGGTCAAGTACATTTATTTTGCAATTCAGTATACCATAATTTTAAACACCTTGGTAACAGTGTACAGTGTACTAAAATATAAAAACTATTTCCCTGAAAGCCTGTAAACTAAATTTAGGGGTCAAAGAATAGTACTGTGAAAACAGAGAAAATCTGGTTCCAGTTTTTGTAATTTGTCAACAGTTGGCATCTATATCTCATGTACATACAAATACTTTCTGTACTATTGAAAATACTACATAAGTTTTCACGAGTAGAACATTAAGAAAAGTGTGAGGTTCTTAAAGTGGCATACCATAATGATATGCTGAAGTTATATCCTTAATAACGTCTATGTATCCCTGGCAATTCTCCGCCTAGCCCATTATGCTAACCAAGAATATTCTGGAAATTCCTACAACTTAACGTAAACCATAAAAGAATTTTAAAAGACAGAAGTAATCGAGTAAAATGTTGCTTATACACTCAAATCTTTAGTCATCCAAACACTCCTCAGTACAGCTCAATTCCTCAAATGATTAAAAAACTTAATTTCACAATTTTTCCCGGTTCCCAAAGTACTATATAGTATATCTAAGGACACTCTCCACTTAGTTTTCAATATTAAGTATAGAAAAGTATTGAGATTTCTCTGTACGTTAGAAATCTCTGGGTCTGTCTCATGAACAAAAATACTTAACTGAAAAATTCTAGGGAAAACAAGAAATTTCTAATCAAATAAGCCTCCAAAACCTGAAGAGATAAACATCTGACTCTCATAAAGAAAAGCAGCCAACTAAAGTTCTGACCAGAATATTCTAAGTAAACCTTCACTGAAACACTCTACAAGGGCTTTTCCTGATATTCCTATGTGGTCCACTACTTTCTCGAAGACAGTGAATAGAAAGAGAAACTTCAAAAAATGCATGGCCCTGGGAGATGAATTAACTTTTGTAAAGTTATACTGTTTACACAGAATGGATGCTGACAGAGTATATAAAAGACTACCAGAACTGATGGAGGATTTGCCACCACGTGGTCCACCACGACCTCGACCCCCTGAAACACTTCTGCCTCGTCCTCCTGGGCGTCTCCTGCTGTCACGCTGATGTCGACTGTCTCGATCATCTTCTCCTGCCAATGACCAGTCACTCAGCTCATCTTTACGCTCAGATTCTGTTTCAGAGGGGTTAGACAGCTCAGAATTTGTACCTTGAAAAAGAGAAGAACATATGCCAATTAGATTTCTGTAAAAAGAGGCTTTAAAATGTTCAAAATTATTTCCTACAAATTATTGTTTAAATAAGCAATAATGTTTGGCTGCTTCAAAGAAAGCTCCATGAAAGTTAAAATCAATCAAAAACTTACTAAGGAATCACCAAATATACTATTAATATTATGCTATCTATTAATATAAATTAAAAACTGATGTGTAGAAGACTGCTTACTTCTTCAAAACCAGAATCCCTCACTGCAGTCTAAGATGGGTTGCTACATAATATATTTAAAAGTGTAACCATCCCATCAGCAAAAGGGGATAATATCCAGAAAATATAAAGTCATGGAAGTTAAAAAAAAAAAACTGATGTACAGAAATAGAGTCAACAGAAAAATTACATAAAATATACAGAACATTAATTCATGGATTTTGGCACCAAAAAGGTAAAAAAAAAGAAGAGGAGGAGAAAAAGGAAAGAAAGAAAATATACAAGAACATCACCTATCAATATTAAAATGTACTGTATTTAGTCAAATAATTCTCATTTGAGTTTTAGTAACCTAAATTATTAGTACAATAAAAGTAACTTCTATTCAATATTTGACAGTAATCATATTTAGAAAAATGAATAGTTTAACTGTATAGTGTACTTCACCATTATTTCACTGATTCTAGGGTAGACTTTTATTTCATACATTAACATCTCTAACATGTATGAAATAAAAGTATGAAACAGTTATAAGACATGTTTCTTATAATTGAGGGCATCTATATTATAAGCTGGAAGTATTTTTTCCAGTAGGTCGTATATAAAATAATAGCATATTTTACTGGCAAGTATCTTAAATTGTGGTTTTGGTCATTAAAAGTAATTACTTTTACTTTTTGCCATTAATGGCTCACACCTGTAATCCCAGCACTTTGTGAAGCCAAGACAGGCAGATCACCAGGTCAGGAGTTTGAGACCAGACTGGCCAACATGGTGAAACCCTCTCTCTACTAAAAATACAAATTAGCCAGGCATAGTGGCACCATTTCTAACACCACAACTATTGCAATGGTGACCTTTCAAAACTTTATTTAAATACTACAAAGATTTCATCAGAGACCTACAGTATCAATATTTAATAATTGCTGTAATTAAAGTGTCAGATACATATGACTCAATCACTATCATACTCATTTCCACTTACTGGTTCTGGGATGCTGCTTCCTCTTTCCCTTATATATGACCAAATACATCTCCTTCACAGCCTAGTTCAATTTCTAACTTCAGACCACCCTAATTAAAAACAGATCTCTCCCCATTTTTTGTTATCCTAAAATCACCCCGTATCTATCATAGACTGTGCTGTGTTATTTTCCTCCCCTTGGGAATTACTTCAAAATTCGTCTACGATACAGGGTAGTACTCCATCTTATAAGTCCTCAAATGCCTAGCAAAGTGTGTAACAATTTTCCAAGCAAAAAATCTACTGCATTATTTTGAAGTTCATTTGCTAAACTCTCAGACAAGAGTGATTTCATGAAACACCTTGAAGTTCCCTATATTTAAGCTCCACAATCATTTGAGAAAAAATGCAAACAAGAGCTCTTCAGACATAAAAAGTTTTAAGTATTAAGGTGCAGGGAATAAAATGTCAACTTGAATACATCAAGTTTCTATTATTCACTCTCAATTCTTTGTTGGGAAATACAATCTCAGGAAAGGGACTTTATCTCCCCTAACATTTATTTCTCCAAATGACAAAAAGCACTTTATTAACATAGAAGTTGCAATGAAGGCAATTTATCTTTCCTTGAAGAGTGAAAAAAACCTTTGGAATGTTTAAGAACTTCTGAATTTATTTACAAACCTATACCCTACCTGAAAACATTACCAAAATTCAGGGCAAATCAAGAATACTTAATTTTGAAGATTCTCTCAAAAATTCCTATTCAAGTAACCTTAGAAATCTAGTCTACTATTTATCTAACCCAGTGTCACAGCAAAGAAAGTCTTCCTTAAATTTAACCTATATATAGAATTCAAGATACTCAGAAGAAATGTCTAAATAATAGATTTCAACAGTTAACTGTTAATTAAGGCCAAACCACCCCCAAAGTTTTAATGAATTGGCTACTGATCAAGATTATTAAAAACTCTTAATAACTCATATTAAATGTTTCTGGGATAGCAAAAAGGACTCTGCAAATGTGACTAGGGTTAAAGACCGTGAAAGAGAGAAATTATCCTGGACTATCCAGGTGGGTTCAAACTAATCTCACTGGCTCCTTCAAAGTAGAGAAACTTTCTCAACTTCAGAAAAGGGAAATCTCTGCCCAGACCTTCCAGAAATGAATGTACCCCAGCTGACAGGACTTTAGCCTAGTGAAACCCATCTCAGCCTTCTGACCAACAGAGAACTATATAAGGCAATAAATGTCTGTGGTTCAAGCCTACAAGTTTGTGGTAATTTATTACTGCAATTAAAGTGAATAAGGAAACCAGTGAAACCATTTATTCTAATCCCTCAATTTTATAAAATACAAGTTGGTGATTCAAAGTCTTTTTAAACAAGTTTAAAAGTAACGACACTAATTTAATTTTAAATGTCTCCATGACATCGTGTTTTTAATCAATTTTAATATCATATTTTCACCTCAAACTTCTAAATTCACCTTATCATGAGATGGTATACATCAATTTCAATTGTTTTTTGTGCTAGGCTTAACAGCTAAAAAATAATCACATTTTATCAAATCCAAGATGACATCAATTCTAAGATATTATTTTACATGCCATTAAAAAAGAGAAAATACTGCTAATTAAAGTTGTAAGATGTCCAATTTAACAGACATAACAACTTCAGAGATGTTACACTGGGAAATGTTTTTAACAGTTCCTATTAAACTGATGAACTATAGTACTCGTTATATTACATATATATATATATATATATAAATCACCTAAAAGTCCCTCTGATATAAAGTATACATGAACATCTACAACCACATTCAAATGTTTTTTCAAGCCCACTCAGGTTAAATAACTATTTCAAGAAATAAAATGGTATTAATTCTGCAATGATTCAGAGCTAAGAGTGCCATCTACTGAAGAATTTGCATAGCTTTCTTAAATCCAGATGATGTTTTTCTACCTCTCATATAAATTCATTATCTAATCTCAACAAAAGCATTTTGCCAGAGTAAGCTCTCATCAATAAGCAGAATTCCCAGAGGCTAATAAAATTCTTCAATGAATTCATCATATTCATCATCCAATAAGCCAAATCTAATTATGCTAATAATATGTATGCTTCAAAAATCAATGAAAATATAATTTCTGTGTGATTACTGGTTAACCGTGTTTTGCATTAAATATATTTTCAGGAATATAGTAATAGTTTGCAATTTTCGGTCCCTTATATGCTGACCATTTCTTTATTAGAATTTTGCTTTTTACGTTTCAATACAGCATTAAATAAAAATATATATGTAAGAAAATGAGAATATAAAAATACGATATTAACAGAAAGGGACACCAACTTACAACTCTACAACAAATGAAAGATAGTTCAAGCTCACTGTAATTTTTACAGTATTAGATTATCCTTCAATTAATCACGAAATTTGCATTTATCGCTATTTTCCTTAAATGCCTTACATTTTTAAAAAGGATTTATAAAGTATTTCCTCAAAAGAAAGTAAGTACAAGAGTGAAGAAAAGGAACGGAAAAGAGAAAAGAAAATGGGTGAAGGCAAAAAACAAATCAGGCACTGCTAAGATCCAAGTCCGAATGGAGAAAAACGGAACAACTCCAAAGCTGAAGAAGAATAAGGGAGAATTGAGGATTAGAGAATTGTAGACTATCACCACTCCACTGTCCTCTTCCTACTTGGGTTATAACGACCCAATCCTCACAGTGAAATACATTTTAGAAAATGTTCATTTATAAAGTATTAAATTAGATTCTGGCTTTTAAAGCCTTCATTTTAGTAAAATGTTATTATACAAAATAATTCCAAATACGAGATGTTAATATATTGAAACATACCAAATGAGTCAATAAAGTATTTTTTAAAAGCTAGTAAAGACTTGCTATATGCAACCTTGGCACTGATTCACATACTTTTCATTTTTTATTTTAAGAGGGTAGACAAAGATGATTCCTAAAAGTATCACCACCATTACTAGGTATTTACTTGGAAAGGTATAAAACTATACTAGCAAAATATTTGAAAACCAAGTTACATACGTATTCTTTCTAAATATTTATAATAAACATAATTATGAACTACCAACTTAAAAACATACTTTGCTTCATTACATAACTACTTGGAAATTTTATGTATTTTACTGTCATTTTAATGTATACCATCACCACTTTACTAAGAAATGTACTAAACCTCCAGAACTACCTTCTACCCTCAAAGCCAAGATAGAGTAATGAATTATAAGAAAATGTGTTAGAGCACCTAAACTATAACTACTATTACTACTACTACTAGAAATAAAACAAAACAAAAAAAGGTTTTTTTTACCATAACCGGAGGTGTAATTAGGGCCCCGACGACCTCTGCCTCTTCCACTATAAGACCTAGAACCTTGTACAGAAGAGACGGTACTTTCATCAGTGGCATATCCTTTCTCTTTTTCAGGCCCTCTGGTGGAAGAAGGTCTGAAACCCATACCAATCTGTCGTAGCTGTTCATCAATCTGTAGGCGTTCCATTCTTAGCTGTTCTACTTCCTACAATCAAAACAAAAAAGAGTTGAACGTGACTTTTTGTCTTCTTAAAGCCTAGAGCTAGAGCTGTACTCCCTACCAAAGCTACAACCTTGGACAATTACATGGTAAAAAAAACATTGTGTTCCTGTCAACAGAACTTAGGAGATCATTTGCTGTTTCAGTTCAACATTTACTGAACAGCCTGGAGGGTGCCAAACATGCTGCTATAGGCATGCAATGTAAAAGACAACGTAGGCTCACCCCTATCAAGGGAATAATTAACAGCTTTAAAATAAGTTATTTATTAAATAGCTAATAATTATATAGTATTACCAGATTTTGCCCTTAAGGAGTTAGGACTGCTGAATGAGATACAGGTAACATCTATGTTAATATACTATTAACAAGCTACTTTCCTATCAAAGTAGTGACACCTCAGTTGTGAAATAGAAGTAGAATGCTAGACTTGGTCATTCAGAAATTCGGGTTATTACAGAATGCAAAAGTTTGATGTATAGAGAAAGCTCTTGGTTAAAATGACTACTGAAAGATGCAGCTCTGGCTTTAAAATGCCAGTTTTAATTGCAATTTTTCATGTATAGATAAATTTCAAAAGAAAAGGAATGAAATTATCAGAGAGATTTAAAAATATTAGCAGCAATGATACAAGAGAAAACATAGCAGAGGCAGAGGGCAGGTGAGGATATTATACTTTAAAAAGAGAAACCTAGCAGGCAGGAATAAAAGGCAAAGAGGAGAAAATAAACTTGAAATGCTTAATAATTCATAGGTAATGTTTTCCTAAAACCCTTGCTCTTTATATATCAACTCTAAACTATTTTGGTAACAATGGTTCAAATATCTGTGGACATAATGGAGATGATGTGCATAATGCTAAAGTTACCAAGGAAGCCCCACATCACTCCTGGTTCTGTACCCTATTTGTATGTAAAATACAAAAGTAAAAATAAAAGGGCTTCAGTATGAACATGCAGATACATAAGTGATTTGAGAGTCAAATTACATGAAGACAAAGTAACCATTTCTTAAACAATAAGAAACATAAAAGCTCAGAGAAAAGAAACTATGCCCACAAAAGTACGCATTTTATGACAAAGGACTTTTTAAATTCTCATGTAGAAAAATGACAAATCTGAAGCCGAATTAACAAAAATATTTAAAGATTTAAAATTTACTTCAAATATAAAACGTTTGAGGACATTTTAAATTTGTAGTAAGTGTACGTTTATGTAATAAATGCATGAACAATGATACCAGAATACAGTATGACCCATATATATACAAACCTTTAGATAAGCAATATGATACTCTAAAAGAACTTGCACATTTCCAATGCTTTCTTTAGTGCCAACAAATACAAATGGAACCATACCCTGTTTAAAAAAAAAAAAAAAAGAGTCTTTAGTATTTAATACTTGAACAAAGTTCTAGCCTGAAAGTGACATAAAACTGACTGGCACGCATGTGCGTGCATGTCTTTTTCTTGAGATGACATCATGCTCCGCTGCCCACCAGGGCTTGGTGCAGCATCAAACTCCTGGGCTCAGGTGATTCTCCTGTCTGAGCCTCCAGAGTTGCTGGGACTATAGATGTGTGTCACCAAAATCAGATATTTTTTTAAATTTTTTATAGACAGGGTCTTGGTCTGTTGCCCAGCTCCTGGCCTCAAGCAATCCTCCTGCCTTGGATTACCAAAGTGCTGGAATTACTGGCTTCCCAAAGTGTTGAGATTACAGGCATAAACCACTATACCCAGCCCTAATATATAATTAAGAAAACTTTTCTGAAACACACAGCAATTTACATGTACTAAACTTCAAGATTTAATGGGGGAAAAAATGCTAAAATCCATGTAAGTTGAAATACTCAGATTTTCAGTAACTTGTCATATTTGCACCACAATTTACTACTGTAAATTGTGTACTGTGCGTTGACTTTAAAAATCATTTTTAAAAACCAGTTTATACCAAGTTTTCTGATTTATAATCAATTTAATTTTCCAAGTATGTAAGTCAACGTTTAACGTTAAGATGATTTTCTGGCAGGTCATAGTGACTCACACCTATAATCCTAGCACTTTGGGAGGCCGAGGCAGGTGGATAACTTGAGTTCAAAACCAGACTGGGCAACATGGAGAAACCCCATCTCCACAAAATATACAAAAATTAGCTGACATGGTAGCACATGCCTGTAGTCCCAGTTACTTGGGTGGCTGAGGCAGGAGGACAGCTTTAGTGTGGGAAGCAGAGGTTGCAGTGAGCCAAGATTGTGCCACTGCCCTCCAGCCTGGACAAGAGAGCAAGGCTGCCTCCAAAATCAAACAAACAAAATGTTCCTTCAAACTGGCAATAAACTTACAGACTAGATATATCACCTTAAGAGGTATAGCTTTAAAACATAAGAGAGCTCATTAGCCCAGTTATCCCTACAGTATGTGCTCAGGTAACAAAATCCTGAGTGTACTACAAGAGGTACTTCCTGACCACTAAAAGAAATATCAACTCCAGAGCATAAATATTTACATAATATAAAATTAAAGGAATTATTAAGATATGTAGAAGTATTAAAGTAAATCAAAGTATTAGGCCAGATTTGGTTTACTTTGCTGAACTTCTGAATAGAAGGTTTTTAAAAAGTGGCAGAAGAGAAAACTAAGATGGCACACTGAATTTTTCTTCTTTAAAGAAACATACGGGCCGGGCGCGGTGGCTCAAGCCTCTAATCCCAGCACTTTGGGAGGCCGAGACGAGTGGATCACAAGGTCAAGAGATCGAGACCATCCTGGTCAACGTGGTGAAACCCTGTCTCTACTCAAAATACAAAAAATTAGCTAGGCATGGTGGCGCACACCTGTAATCCCAGCTACTCGGGAGGCTGAGGCAGGAGAATTGCCTGAATCCAGGAGGCGGAGTTGCGGTGAGCCGAGATCGCGCCATTGCACTCCAGCCTGGGTAACAAGAGTGAAATTCCATCTCAAAAAAAAAAAAAAGAAACATACTTCCAGCTTCTTAATGGCTGAGAAAAATGAGAGTAAACCTTAAAAAACTCCCCCAATCAGTTTCCATGTCTCTAATTTTCTTCGTTTTACAGAAGTTTCTAACAGTTACTTACACAGAATGGCTTAGAGATTTTGGTTCTAAATATGAAACTAAGCATGGGTTAAGAAATTTTAGTTCTATATACGACTCAATTATTTTCAAAGTAATTTAAAAATTACAATGATGTTTATATAGATATCGTTGATTTAAAACTTCGGGCAACAGGGCAAGTGCTAGGATACAGCACAGTTATTATGAAGGTTCACAGTGACTGTGAAGAAGTCACTTCAACTATGAAAACATGAAACGAGGGAAACTAACAGTGTCCTTCCTTAGAAGTTCACAAGCAGATAAAAGGGCATTCAAAGTAAAGTAAAAACCGGGTGGGGAGGCAAGGACCTAAAAAAAATCTTTAGCACCTACCCTGTTTTCAGGACTGTATTATGCCTTCCATGTATTTTATTTAATGTTCATTAAAAAATTAACTAAGAAAGAGTATCCTAGCTTTACAGTTAACAAAATAACTTGAAGGCATAAAATTAGCAACTGAGCCAGCCACTTTTATCTAGTTATTTAATTCCAAATAATATCTATTTGTTAACTGCCAGGATCTTATATGCTAAGGTATAAGAATAAAGTTTCTGTAAATCTCAAGAAAAAAATATACCAAACATTCTTATAAAAAATTCATTGTACTGCATTAATGCTATGACCAAAAAACAGGAGTTTTACGGAGAATGTGAATTATGCAACTCCAGGTGTGGAAAGTTAAGGGAATAAGAAAGAATAATGTTATGTAAAGAAAATGTTAAAAATAAATAAAATTTTGCCAAATACATAAAGAGAAAGTCATTCCAGACAGATGACCTGAAGGGAATAAAAAAATACAGTGTCTTGACCTTCAATGGGAAATGTTATCACCTTTACGCCATAAAAAAGGAATGGTAAACTCTAAAGAGTAAAGGATTACTAATGAATATGAGTTCATTTTTTCTAAGTTAAGTGAAACTTAAAAGGTTTTTAAAAAAAAAAAATGCTAAAAACTGATTATTTTTATGTAACAGATGAACACTGAGATAATCAGCACTAAGAAAAATCTGAATCCCTACTCCTGACACCCTGCACCAAATACATATCAACTGGAGCAAAAAGTTTATGCACTAAAAACCAACAACAACAAAAACAAGAATATAATGTATTTCTGAATGATCTAGGAGCAGGTAAAACCCTGCCAAGCATGACAGAAAATCCAGTCATAAAGCAAAAGCCTAAAAAAAAAATCCAACAATATAAAAATTTTAAAATGCCTGCTCAGGAAAAATCAAGTCAAAATTAACAAGGAATATTTGCTACACATACAAAAATGCAAAATAGTCTTATAACCCACTAATACTGAAGACAAAAAATATATAAAGGACAAAGAGTTCACAGAAAAATATGTATCTTTTAAGCACATAGAAAGATAATGTGGTATACCTTCTGTAATGGCATTAACTAAAGTTTGATAAAAACTAATACTGAAATATGTGTAAAACAGCCTTATTTCCTACACTGGTGATAGAGATAAGTGAGAAAATAATTATCAAGCTCTAAACATTTAAATACTATAAAACCTCTGATCTATCACATGGATCACTTGAGCCCAGGTTCAAGACCAGACTGGGCAACATGGAGAATTTCCTCTCCATTTATAGTTGGCAAAAGAGTCATAGGGGATGTTCACTACAGCACTGTTTTTATAGTATGTATGTATGTATTTATTTATTTATTTAGAGACAGAGTTTCGCTCTTGTTGCCCAGGCTGGAGTGCAGTGGCGTGATCTTGGCTCTCTGCAACCTCCACCTTCCGGGTCAAGCAATTCTTACAGGCACCCGCCACCATACCTGGCTAGTATTTTTGTATTTTTAGTAGAGACCGGGTTTCACCATCTTGGCCAGACTGGTCCTAAACTTTTGATCTCGTAATCTACCTGCCTCGGCCTCCCAAAATGCTGGGGCATGAGCCATGGCACCCAGTCAGCGTTGTTTTTAATAGCAAAACAAAAGCATGCAACAGCAGCTTAAACAGGTTAAAGCCAAGGAGGCATGACGAGGAAAGGAGAGACATGTAGAAGGCACAGATACACATCTGTTTTTGATATTATACTCATCTGTTATTCTAACCTTTACTCAAATTTTTATAATTAAAAACTCAAACTTAATTTTTTTATGACTTAAAACATTTATCAAGTGCCCGTTCTACTCAATTCATAGTCATAGGGGAGAATGAAAAATATGGGAGTTCAGATTTGACTTCCTGATTTCGAGGAGTTCATAAACTGGTTTGGAGACATATACCAGAAAACAAAATCTAAGTAAGACTGAAAGATTATCATTAAAAACCCAATTATAAAGACAAGAATTACTATAGTACACATGTAGAAAAAGTCATTTCAGGCTAGCAACAGTTCACCAAAGCCTTCTGAGTAAAGAAGTTACAGACTGAGTCTCCAACTTATATTGTGAAATGGTGGCACCAATAAGCCAATACTAACCTTTGGATTTATTTTAGCATGCAGTGTTTTGAAAACTGAAAAACTGTATATTATAGGTTTCCTGCTTCTCAAAACATACCACTGTAGCAAAAAATAAGACATGCATTCCTTATGAAGAAAGGCACTGTCCTCTCCATCCCTATCTTACACAGTCCAACTCGCCTAATCGTGTAACTGCTTGGCCTCTGCAAGCATTTAAGTCTCCAATGGCCAAAACTACAAACAAGAAAGTACAGTAAATTCCTACTTATGAAGGAAAACCTAGAAGAATATGCTTACAACAAAATCAATGCTGAAAAGCAACTGGGAATAAATCAAGCTAAGAGAAGACATTAATATCACACTTAGAAATTCATAGTTGAGCAAGTTAATGGTCCTCACCAATAACTACCATGATTTTAAGACAAATGTTTAGGCAGTGGTTGTATGCCAAATGGTTCAGCATTCATCTTACCATTAGTTATACTAAGCATAACAAAACAGGTGCCAATAATAATGGCATGAGACCATCAGTTTTAATCCTTATATTTTTATGTTATTTTTTTGAGATGATGTTGTTTCCCAGGATGGAGTGCAATGGTGCAATCTCAGCTCACCACAACCTCCGCCTCTCAGGGTTCAAGCAATTCTCCTGCTTCGGCCGCCAGAGTAGCTAGGATTACAGGCATGCGCCACCATGCCCAGCTAATTTTGTATTTTTTGATAGAGATGGGGCTTCTCCATGTTGGAAAGGCTGGTGTCAAACTCCTGACCCCAGATGATCCACCCACCTTAGCCTCCCAAAGTGCTGGGATTACAGGCCTGAGCCACGACACCCGGCCTTAATCCTTCTCTTAAGCCATCTTAAAATAATGCAAAATGGGGCAGAAGTGCTTATAAAGAATAAGTTCTGTGAGATTTGTACTTTATTTAAAGCAGTGTAGAATAAAATTACTGAAAACAGCATTCCAAGCCACAAGTATTCATTTGTTTGATGATATCTAAACGTTCGTTGCTCCTCATTTATTCTTAGTATATTCACCTCCACATTTAATTAAAAGGAATAAAGGAAGTGGCTATCTTTAACATCTTTACAATACCAATACTTGGTTGGGCTAAATATATAGTTTTCTCTTTTTAAAAGACAGATCCCCTATCCAACAGGTTAACAAACTCCCCATACAATGCCCTGCTGTGCAAAGCTAAAGCAGTTGTGACCATTTTCTGATAATTTTATAAAAAATCCTTGTCTTCTATTCAGGCACACAAAGTTTAAGCATATAGAGCTGACCACCAAAGCCATAAATGTGAGATCCTTAAAATGATGTACAAGGAGTAAAGAACAAAATTAGGGACAAAACATCAACATGTGGGAAAAAAGCGGATGAAAAAATTTTAGAAAGCTAGGATCAGAATTAATAGCAACATAAAAGCCTAAGAGGAGTTCAATTAAGAAACGGTCGCCCAGGCACAGTGGCTCATGCCTGTAATTACAGCACTTTGGGAGGGTGAGGCAGGCAGATCAAGAGGTCAAGAGATTGCAACCATCCTGCCCAATATGGTGAAACCCACTCTCTACTAAAAATACAAAAATTAGCTGGGTATGGCAGTGCCTGCCTGTAGTCCCAGCTGCTCAAGAGGCTAAGGCAGGAGAATGACTTGAACCTGGGAGACAAAAGCTGCACTGAGCCGAGATCGTGCCACTGCATTCCAACCTGGCGACAGGGCGAGATTCCATCTCAGGAAAAAAAAAAAAGCCGGGCGCAGTGGCTCACGCCTATAATCCCAGCACTTTGGGAGGCCAAGCCGGGTGGATCACGACGTCAAGAGATTGAGACCATCCTGGTCAACATGGTGAAACCCCGTCTCTACCAAAAATACAAAAAATTATCTGGGCATGGTGGCGCGTGCCTGTAATCCCAGCTACTCAGGAGGCTGAGGCAGGAGAATTGCCTGAACCCAGGAGGGGGAGGTTGCAGTGAGCGGAGATCACGCCATTGCACTCCAGCCTGGCTAACAAGAGCGAAACTCTGTCTCAATTAAAAAAAATAAAATAAAATACTTTCAGATTCTATAAAATGGTTAAGGAGAGTATGATCTAAAATTCCTTTGTCAGCATGGTTCACAACAGCAAGGATATGGAACCAACCTCAGTGCCCATAGAGCAATGAGTGGTTAAAAAGAAAATGTGGTATATATATCTACACCATGGAATATTACTCAGCCATAAAAAGGAACAAAATAACATTTTTTTTTTTTTGGAGAAACCTGAATGGAGGCCATTATTCTAGGCAAAGTAAATCAGGAATGGAAAACCAAGTAACGTATGTTCTCACTTGTAAGGGGGAGCTAAGCTATGAGGACGCAAAGGCAAAAGAATGCTATAATGGACTTTGGGGACTCAGTGAAGAGGAAGGTTGAGGAATGAGGGATGAAAAATTATATACTAGGTACAGTGTCCACTGCTCAGGTGCACCAAAATCTCAGAAATCGCCACTAAAGAACCTTAACCATGTAACCAAAAACCACCCATAGGCCAAAACCTATCCAAATTAAAAATTCCTTTGAAAGTATCAAATTCTATAGCTTTACACTCTACGTATGATAGATAACTGTTAAGATTATCAAATAGACATCTTTTTATCATGAACTGGCTTTTTTTTACTGAAGTACTACCAAAACAAAGAAGAACGACACCCACACAGTAGAAAATGACTTGTTTTCTAAGTGTATAAAGCAGTATTACAAAAACAGATTTTAAAAACAAGAAAAACCCTCTATCGGATAAAATTTTTACCACTATTAAGTTGGCCAAAAAAAGGACATTTTAAAGAGGCAAAGAAACTACATTTTAAACACTTACGAATTATATTTTAAACACTTACGTCTTCTCTGGGTAGTTTATTTTCATTGTCCCCTTCAATTCTCACCCGAACCACACCAGATTTGTCCACTATTTCTTGAATAACTTTGCCATTTTTTCCAATTACTTTTCCTTTAGTAAAAGAAAACAAATATAACGGTAAGCTAAAAACCAGTTCTGCTATTCTTTCAGTATCGGCCCAAGTATTGTAACTTGCTAATAATTATAACCATCCAGTGAAGCTCCATCTTTTTACTGTCAATTAACTCACCCTATAGACTACCAAGGAATTTTACCCCTGGTCTGAAACTCCCTTCTCTTTCAGCATACCTAAGGTTACCAACTGGGAATGACAACAGTGCTAGACATTTTCAGAATCTAGACTTTATAAATATCCTTTTATCACTTTCATATTTTTAAAATATCCAACCCATTTCAAAACCATGAACATAAAGGCAAAGAGAAAACTATTTTAATTTGGCATTAGTTATATCACTTTCGTAATTCATTTAAGTAACAAATCTATCAATCTTACTTTTATTTTTAAGTTTCTATCTGTCCAAGAGATTTCTATGACTGGAAAATAACTTTAGAATATTTACATGTATTGCATTTTAACCAAGAAGTTTTTAAAGTACTTCACAGCTATATAAAAAATTACATAAAGCATGTACATTATATGCTGCCTTGCTAGGTATAAATATTGTAAAATGACATAAAATTCAAATTAACTTTTCTACACTTAAAAGTCTGTCAAACAGCAGTTGTTGAGTATATTCATAAAAAGGGGTCAAAAGGCTCTCTTTCCCTGAAGGACTATCTATCTAAAGATTAGCATATACTCACATAAACTACAAAGCAATACTCAGTTGTGTACCTATTAGCAAGTACTATTCAAGTAACCTTCACCATATGGAACAGATGTATCCCTTGGACAGTGAACAGCAGTAGCATAGTTGTTATCAAGTCCACATCCTCAAATAATTTTTTAAGTAAATCACTTTTCGCAAAAACTTAAATCTTGGTTCAAAGAGTTAAAATGGAAGATTTTCCTATTGCATGCCTGAACAAACAGTTTCCATTAAAGAATGAATAAGAATAAGGACAACAGTAGACTGGTCAATACAATAAAATGACTATAATGGGTTTTTCTCTCTTGTATTCCTACTCTCAAGCCTCGTTCCCCATTAATAATCCTAAATTTAAAAGCAGCAGCAATTGAACAGGTTAAAAAAAAAGTAGGGCAGGGAATTCACATGACATGTATCTTCTCTGAGGAGCCCTAGCAGCAGCACATAAAAGCAACCTTCATTGTTAACACAGTGAAGATCAAGCAGCAACTCCATCCTTGACCCTGCTAAAAATAAGCAAATGTCTTTCGAAGAACAAAGATTAGGTTGATATACCATATTCCTTCCCTAGAACCTTTGCCACTTCCTTCTTTTGAACTATACCAGTTGTGAGTGATCATCACCCTTCCAGGGTCCTTGATAGGAACCTACCTGCAAGATTTATTTAGTCCCACCAGAGACCGTCAATATTTTAAATGACCATTTCCATAGTTTAAACTCCACACCATATTGACAAATTGAAGCAGACCTGTAGTATAAATTGAGCACTGAATACAAATGCTTAAGGAACAGAGAGAAGTGATTAAGGCAGGCTTCTGGGGATGAAAGGTTTTGAACCATTTTCAGATCAATGTTCAAATATTTTTCCCTTTCATTTGGGAGAGGTAGGAATGGTCACCTTAAAACTCTCGGAATCTGAATGAGGAAGGAAATTCTCACTGGAACTTACCCACCACGTGTCCTCATTCCCTTTTATTCCTCAGTTCTCTTTTTCTTTCATTTGGACTAACAATGTACTATTTTTCAAAAGACTGCTTCATCCATAAAACATTATGGAGGGAAATATTGTATCTGTACACATTACAACCAACAGAAATTCTGATACTCTTGAGTATTTCACCAATGTGTAACAGTTACTGCTAATGTATATTTCCTGAAGAGCACACAACCCACATCACCAGAGCCAATGGAAACAAGATCCAGGAAGAGACAACAGGTACTCACCACTTCAATGAATAAAAAAAACAATCAGAGAACTACTAATTTGCTCAATTTTCTTATTTTTGAAACACCAGAAATTTTTACTCAACTCTCTAAGATCACAACTGTCTAAGACCAAGGCTATCTTTTATAATTGATAGACTTGGATTGAAAAGAAACCCAGTTCCCTTTCACAAACCCACTGGCAAATCATATTTTTTATTTTTTAGACAGAGTTTCGCTCTTGTTACCCAGGCTGGAGTGCAATGGCACGATCTCGGCTCACCGCAACCTCCGCCTCCCGGGTTCAGACAATTCTCCTGCCTCAGCCTCCTGAGTAGCTGGGATTACAGGCATGCACCACCGTGCCCAGCTAATTTTTTGTATTTTTAGTAGAGACGGGATTTCACCATATTGACCAGGATGGTCTCGAACTCTTGACCTCGTGATGCACCCGCCTCAGCCTCCCAAAGTGCTGGGATTACAGGCATGAGCCACCGCGCCCAGCCCTGCCAAATCATTTTTACAAGTGAGGAAACCAGCTGGGCACGGTGGCTCACGCCTGTAATCCCAGCACTTTGGGAGTCCGAGGCAGGAGGATCACCTGAGGTTGGGAGTTCGAGACCAGCCTGATCAACATGGAAAAACCTGGTCTCTATTAAAAATACAAAATTAGCCCATGTGCTGGCGCATGCCTGTAGTCCCAGCTACTTGGGAGGCTGAGGCAGGAGAATCGCTTGAACCTGGGGGGTGGAGGCTGCGGTGAGCTGAGATCATTGCACTCCAGCCTGGACAACAAGAGCAAAGCTCCATCTGAAAAAAAAAAAAAAAAAAAAAACCAGCAACAAATGAGGAGACCTTAGTAAAACTCAAATATGCTCTATAGAGCAGTTACCACAATGTTAGTAATGACAGATATCAATAATTACAATTTTTTTTAAAAAGGGCATCATTTTCAAAAGCAGCTTTCTTGTGAAAGGCGATTCCATTTGATAACACTGTGGACCTTATGTATATTTATAATGATAAAAAATTCTTCAAGTTTATATTCAATTTTAACATTTCATGTCATCTTTCTAGCACTTCAGTCTACAGTGAAAAAAGGTATACCAAGAACTAATAAAGCAGAGCTTATACAACTTGCAGTAATGCCACACCTATCCAAATGTTTGAGCAGAACTGAAAGACTTTTTATAGCCAGGCATAGTGGCTCATGTCTACAATCTCAACATTTTGGGAGGCTGAGGCAGGTGGATCACAAACTCAGGAGTTTGAGACCAGCGTTGCCAATATGGTGAAACCCCATCTCTACCAAAAATACAAAAATCAGCCAAGCATGGTGGTGGATGCCTGTAGTCCCAGTTATCAGGAGGCTGAGGCAGGAGAATTGCTTGAACCCAGGAGGCAGAGGCTGCAGTGAGTTGAGATAATACCACTGACTCCAGCCTGGGTGACAAAGCAAGACAGTCAGAATAAATAAAAAAATAAGGCAGGCTTTTTACATAAATACTAATAGGTGAAGTCCATGAAACAAATTGCTGTGTTGTAAACTACTTTTCCTGAATGCACTACTCATTAATGGCCAAGAAAACAATCTTTTTAGAATAAAAGAGGTTTTTAAAATTTTTTCTATTAATGTTTGTTTTACACAATTTAACAAATAGCCTGTAGTTAAATCATTTCCTAAAGGCAGAACAGGCCATATTATATAAATGGAACCCAAGAAGCTGAAAGTATTTCCTTAGCATCAAAAAAAAAAAATTGAGAGTTAACAGGGAACAAAAACTCATCCCCCTTCTAGTAAACTCACTACATTATCTTGATGCTTCTTTTTATATTAAATATTTACAAGAGTCAATTTTTGGTACAGTCACTGCGTATTTAACACATAACCAAAGCCTTCCTGATTGCCTTACACAGCACCTAAAAGATAGACAGCACAGATGCAGGGCATAGTAACAGAGCTACAAATTAACTCACTCCAAGCTACAGTACTCATTTAACCAGCTTCGAATTCTCGTCACTTAACTATAATCCATGGGTACAACAGTTTCAGTAATGGTGTCAAATAACTAATAGTGAAACCTCCCCTCACATCATCATTCTTCTCTCCTGCCAATAAGTTCTTACCTTATTATTCTATGCCTTTGCAACAACGTGTTACTCAGGACCTACTGTGTAGAATTTTATTACCCTATTGTTTGTTAGTTCACTGTTACTTTTCTTCTGCACTAAACAATTATCATAAATACCTTCTCAAAAAGTACTATCATAATTTTGACGAATATTTATTAATGATGAAAAGACCGTAAGGGAGTGAGAATAACAGGAAAGATCCCATGGGATGAGAAGGCTTACAAAAAACTGTAATGACAAACTGTTATAAAAACCCTGGGCCTTATTACTGGGTCACCCTGTACAGAAGAAACAAACATCTCTACTTTTTAATACATGACAAAAACAAGTTACAAGTCACACAAAATGTAATCACCAAAAAAAAATAAGTATTGCTATGTAAATAACTGTACACAGAAGTGGAATAAGGTTATGAGACTACAAGGCTAGTTTTCAATAGTCGCTGTATGTAACTAAACGTTTAATTTATTTAACATTTAGTAAAAGTACCTACCAACGAGATTCCTAGGAACCTGAATAAAATCCTCCACAAATTCCAAGAAACCTCTAGCTTTTTTTACAGCATCAGCACTCTGTAGATGAGGGGAAAAGTAAAAATGAAATCCTTTTTCAATCTTGAAGCAACCCACAATCCATAACAAAGAGATGAGAAAAAAGAAAATTCTCAATGATTATGTTTTACTAAAAGATTACGCTCACTCCATTGAGGAGAGATTTCAGGTGAAGTGATTCACAAAGTACTTATAAAAATCATTTTTAAAAACCCCAAATCAGTCAGTACTATTAAAACCAAAAATAACATCTCTAAAATCTTTTTTAAGCTGCTGAGAAATTTAGTATCAGAGTTCACATTACACAGCTGCTGAACAGCCAAACTTCAACCCAATCCTAAATATACTCCCAGGTTGTAATTCTCATGTTGAATGTTCACAATACAAATTGTCTAAATTATCTGAATTATTTTATTTATTCTCAAAGTAGGTATATGACTTAAAAAACTATTTTTGCAGAGATGTATTTTTAAAAAGTACCTTCTGTCTGATAAGATAATGAAAATTCATAATTTCTCATGAGTATAATTTTAAACGACTAGAGGGTTGGGAGTGAGTCTCCAAATGAACTTTCTACTCCTCAATAAAGTTACTTTCATTTTTAACATTTGTTCTTTAATAACCATAGCTAAGGCCAGATGTGTTGGGCTCACGTCTGTAACCCCAGCACTCTGAGAGGCCAATGTAGGAGGATCATTTAAACCAAGAGTTTGAGACTAGCCTGGGCAACACAGGAAACCCCCTTCTCTGCAAAATATATAGATACATGTTTAAATTAGCCCAGCATGGAAGCACAGGCCTGTAGTCCCAGCTATTCAAGAGGCTGAGGCCAAAGGATTGCTTCAGCCCAGAAGTTTGGGGCTGCAGTGAGCTATGATCACATCACTGCACTCCAGCCAGAGCAACAGAGATACCCTCTTTAAAATAAAAAAAAGCAAATAAAATTTTAAAAAATATTAAAACAGCACAAATTATTGTGTGCTCACTATACGACATACCATATACAATAAATAATTTTTACAATATATTCCATCCTTAAGAACTGTATTAAGGTAAGCACTACTGTTATTATTTTATAATGAGAACACTTAGACAAGAAAGTAAAGTGATGTACTCCAAGCCTACTAAAGTGGTAGATGGAATTCCAACCCAGGAAGTATAGCTCCAAAGGCTGTCTTTTCTTCTTCCTTTCCTCCTCCTCAACAAGAAAGACAGAACCTTGGCTCTGTTGCTCAGGCTAGAGGACAATGGGACAACCACAGCTCACTGCAGCCACTCAGTCTTGGCCTCAAGTGATCTTCCTGCCTCAGCCTCCAAAACTTCTGGAGTTACATACATGAGCTATCATGCTTGGCTGTCTTAATTACTATGTTATACTATCTACTTTTAAAGTTTTCAAAATTAAAAATGAAACCTTCCAGTCAGCTTTACTATGTGAAAGAAGCTTTTCATAGAGCTATGTCTAATAAGTCAAGACACAAAATTGTCATTCAAAAAAAAAAAAAAAAAATCCAGGCCAGGCATAGTGGCTCATGCCTATAGTCCCGGCACTTTGGGAAGCAGAGGCAAGCAGATCACTTGAGCTCAGGAGTTCAAGACCAGCCTGTACAATACGGAAAAACCTTGCCTCTTATTTAAAAAAAAAAAAAAAAAAATTCACTTACTCAAATTTGAAGGATGGTTTCAATTTATATACATAAAAATAGATGTGTGTGTATACATACACATACACACACACACACACACACACACACATATATATATATATATAAAGAATATATGTATATATATTTAAACTCTGTGTTGCTCTGGCTGGATTAAAACTCATGGGCTCAAGCAATTCTCCTGCCTCAGATTCCCAAGTAGATGGGACTACAGGTGTATGCTGCTACAACTAGCTGAATTACGATTTAAAAATAAGTTACTAATTTCCTACCCCTGCAAATGTCATGATTCACTAGTGATGAAGTATCACAGAAATTCAAGTTCTAGAAAAGCTATTCTAATACATGCCATTTACTCCTACCAGTGTATGGCACACAGTAAGCACTCAAAAAGAAATAATAATTGGATTAATTATTTGATATGGGCATAAAACTAAAGTAAACTAGAAGCAGTTAAGAAATTTCAATTAAAAAACACTACATCCTTAATTACTCAGTAAATCTTTCACTCCCCCCAGTACAAAATCAGCTTCAATTCACCTTCTTATGCCATGATTACGAAGCTGACTGATGCTAACTGAATAAACTCTACCTCAAAAGTATTTCACTGGGAAACTGGAATTTCAGATAAAAATATAATCAAACAACAGATGATTAATATATTACAGTAAAGGCCAAGGCAGAAGACAGAGAACTCACCTCTCCATAGATTCTAAATGTTCCGGTATCTTCATCTAACTCTATGGCAGTAACTCCAGGAACCTTCCTAGCTTGCTGAATGTTACTACCATGTGTTCCTATTGCCAGGCCCATTAAATCTTCTCTCACAACAAATTCCTCATGAAAAGCTGCTGCAAGTTGTTTTGTGCACTAATAAAGAAGGAAAATTAGAATATAAAAAATCAAAATACAAAATGGTTTTTTGTTTGGTGTTTTTGAGACAGGCTCTCCCAATGTCACCAAGGCTTGGGGGTACAGTGGTGTGATCGTGGCTCCCTGCCACCTCAATTTCCTGGGCTCAAGCAATCTTCCCACTTCAGCCTCCAATACAGGCATGCACCACTGAGACCAGCTAAGTTTTTTTTTTTTTTTTTTGGTAGAGATGAGGTCTCACTATGTTACCTAGGCTTGTCTCAAACTCCTGGACTAAAGCAATCCTTCCACCTCAGACTCCTAAAGCGTGGGGATTACAGCCATGAGCCACCACACACGGCCACAAAACATTTTATTGCACATCCATGTTTATAGCATTATAAAGAGGTGAAAGAACCCAGATCTACAGGCCAATGAATAAACACAATGTGATATAGATATATATTCTGCCTTAAAAAGGAAATTCTAACACAGGCTACGTAAATGAACCTTGATGATAAGCTAAATATGCCAGTCACAAAAAAAAAGACTAAAATGCTTTTACTTACATGAGGTATCTAAAATAGTCAAATTTATAGCAACAGAAAGTAGAATGATGGTTGCCAGGGGCTAGGGAAACGAGAAAATGAGCAGCTGTCTAAAAGGTATAGATTTTCAGTTTTACAAGATTAGAAGTCCTGAAGATTTATCAATAATGTAAAATACACTTAATACTAAGTTTTATATGTGCTTTATCACAGCGTAAAGAAAAACCCGAGAAGAAAAAAACCCACAAAAATTAAGTTAAAAACAGGCCAAAACTCAATCTCTTAAAAAACAAATGAAACTCATCTAATATGTCATAAAATGAATGGGAAAACAAACTGTTTTGTTAGTCTATTTTATTAGTCTAAAACATTTTTCCAGATATAGGTAGATATGCTCACATATCCCTTGTTCAGAACTTTTAATGAGAACACTTCCAAATTTGTCCTAAGGATAATAAACAAATCTGTTTCTCTAAGACAGCACAGTGCATGCATGCACGTGTGTTCATCTAGATCTAGAGAGAGTGGGTGAGTGGAAAAACAACTACCCTAGTAGTGTAGCAGGGAGAAGAGGACAAAACAGAGTACCTTGGGACAGGTCAGAGATGTAATGACAAGCTTAATATTTTAGTACTACATGCCACGTGATGCCCCACTCCTAGTCCTCCTCTCCTCTCACACAAGAGTCATTACAATGAACTAGTTAATGATGAAAGGTATCAGGACTGATAAACAGAGCAGTTAAAAAACATAAAAACTTTAAATACAAAGTAAAGAACCAGCAATACAGTCTACTCGGTATCTCTAGTTTCTCAGCTCTTTGGTACCTGTCATCTAAGTCCTACCATCAAGTTAACAGGCATTTAACAAAGGAAAGGCTACATTTGATACAAGGCAAAATGGAAAAGTAATTCTTCTAAAGACACGACAACTCTAGATAGTCACAAAACAGGAGTCCTAGGTGGCCTTAGTTTGAAGCAAGGAACTTGAAAAATATACTTATAAAACTAAATGGGGGCCAGGCACAGTGGCTTATGCCTGTAACCCCAGCACTTTGGGAGGCCAAGGTAAGCGATCACGTGAGGCCAGGAGTTTGAGAGCAGCCTGGCCAACATGACAACACCCCATCTCCCAAAATACAAAAATTAGTTGGGCTTCGTGGTACACACCTGTAATCCCAGCTACATGGAAGCTGAGGCAAGAGAACTGCTTGAACAAGGGAGGCAGAGGTTGCAGTAAGCCAAGATCGTGCCACTGCACTCTGGATGACAGAGCCAGAATCTGTCTCAAAAAACAAACAAAAACTCAATAGGACACACAGAATTCTTTTGTAGGTAAACCCACTTACTTCTAAATGCTTAGTGGCCTCTTCATTTCTGGACATAAGCATCAACTTCGTACGAATACTTCGCAAATGCATGTCACTTAAGATATTTACTCTCTTCACAGTTGCTTCGCTGGCAGACTATAAACAAACAAGCTAATTACTCAAAACTTTAATCATTCTTCCAAATAGCACAAATGCCATCTTCTATACAAAGCGTTCCTTGCTTCTCATCTACTACACTTCTCCTTTCAACTAACATTCCGTACTCTGAGTAATCAGACTTTCCTTTCTGAATTCCTGTATTATTTATAACTGCTATTCAGAATAGGTTTGGCTGGGAAAAAATCCACGTTCTCACAGATTAAGAATTTTATGTTAAGAATGTCATGTTAAGATTTTTTTCTCCTTACTCCAGAAGAAATCAAAAATAATTAACATTTTATAGCGGCAAATGAATTTTTCTCCCACACTGTTTTAATAAATAATTCACTATATACTAAGCTGACCTTGGCTTTTCTCTTTTGAAATATCTAATAATAAAATCTGTGCAGTATCCATTAACAAGCTACTTTAAAACATGGTGTTATCTTACCAGTATCATCAGCTGTGTTGTTTCTGGATGGTAAAAAATTCTGCATGCTCCTACTGCTTTCTTAAAATCTTTATGTGCATTTTCATTAGCACACCTAGAGAAAAATTAATTCATGTGTAAGACCTCAATAACAGATTAAATTTAGAGGAGACTTATAATACAAAGTCAGTGTTTCATTTTGACATCCGCCATTAAAACCTTTGTTCATTAAGATTTTCCATCAAAAGGTTTTGACTGGATGTTTGATTGGATGTTTGGGAAAATGTTTTGCAGCACTGAAAAATCCTCTTAATTCACAAAACAATTCAATAGTAAATAAAATTACTCACGCCTCTCTCAAATCCTCAGGAACATCCACTGTGCATTTAAAGAAGGTATTTTTTTTGACCGTTTTATTTTGATTGACAGGTCGAAGTCGTTCAAATGTGACTATTTCATTGTAAGTAGCATCACAAGCAGCATATTCAATGACATAAAACTAAAAGACATCAAAATACTTTAAAAATCCCATATGAACAAAATAATGAAATTTAAATGAAGTTCTAATTACCTTGCTCAGCTTAACCAATGGATCCTCCCCCATGTGGCACAAACACTAAGCACAGCTTAGCTGCACCAATCTGATTTGCCTAAAGTAGATGATAGGTTCTTACAAGCATGAACCTTGGTGATCCTTACATGCTTGAGGTGTACCTCTGGAGTGCAGCTTTGGTGTTTGCCAATACAGAACACAAACAGAAATTAATGCTAATGAACTTCCGAAATGTTTGATCAACTATTTCTCAGGTAGGCTTTTAGAAATAATACTGACAGTAGAAATAACATTTACAAAAACCAAGCACTGAGGTGTTTCCTTAGAAACTAGTCACAAAGCAAGTGTTAAGCTTACTTACTTCTCCTTTCATCATCCGAACTTTAGCCAACCACCACCCACACGGCTCTTGGTCATTTGCTCTTGAATATACCTGAGGAGAAGAAAAAAAAAAATGCCTATATCCATTCATCCCAAAAGATTTCAATGCTGTAAATAATGACTTCTTATAAATGTCCAGTCCCATTAAACTTAAGAATCAAAAATGCTATTTTATTTAAATTGGTATATTAAATGAAATATAATAAAAGTGACAGTTACACTTAAATTTAGTACTTAAAAATAAAACTATACTTTTTCGGGCAGTTTAGCTTCTTGGAAATTAATTCCATATTCATGAGGTTTACTAAACATAAGCATTTTAAAGAAATGCTCTTAAAAAGGAGTTTTAAATAATGTATAACATAGGCCTTCCTGTTTCTATCAACATTGTTAATATTAAATATTATTCTCAGAAAGTGATTAACCTAATGTTTAAATTCCATCAAGGACATGACACTTAGATCCCTTGCCAAAGAACTTAAAGCAAATGTACTAAAATGATTTGAGTAACAAAAAAACTACACACATTCAGTCCATCTAGCAGAGTACACTAAGTATCTTACAAAACTCCTATTCAGGCCAGGCGCTGTGGCTCACGCCTGTAATCCCAGAACTCTGGGAGACCAAGGTGGGTGGATCATCTGAGATCAGGAGCTCGAGACCAGCCTGATCAACATGGTAAAACCCTGTCTCTATTAAAATACAGAAATTAGCCAGGCATGGTGGCAGGCGTCTATAATCTCAGCTACTCAGGAGGAGGCAGCAGGCCAATCACTTGAACTCAGGAGACAGGCCACTGCACTCCAGCCTGGGCAACTAGAGAGAAACTCCATCTCAAAAAGAAAAAAAAAAACCCAAAACAACAAAAAAACAACTCCTATCCACAAAATAATTAGTCTTATATTCTTTATAAAATCAGTTTTATTAACATAATAGATCACAGAAGTTTTCACTTGGGATTCTAGTTAAACCCAACTAAAGACAGAAAGTTTTAGAAAGCCTGAAGCTTCTATCAGGACGATTTGAGAGTAATCTCAGAAGTGGTAGAAATATGGAACTGGAAATGAATAAACCAAAACCTACTAATAAACTTTACTGTACACCGTGATTAGAAAAAAGCTATGAGAAAAGCAGGAGTCCAATATACCAATCAGGATCCATTAAACTCAATTTTAGCTTTTCCATTTCTTTTATAAACAGATCTAACTATTCAAAGGGATCAATATCTCATGACTTTATTCTTCCTTAGACATATACAAAACAATAAGAAAGTTTACTTTTTTAAGACTAGAATAAAACTCACCCTTATTCTGCAATTATTTTATGTATCCACTGGGCCCTTCTATAAATGTAAGGTAGAATATAGTGATCTTATTTTTCCTATATCTTGAAACATTTTACTATTTCATCAACATTCATCAGTTATTCTCAGCTATGTTTTAAATAAAGACTAAAATGGAACAGAGGAGTAACGGCATCACCTAGAAGGACACAACAGTGAAATAAATTGTTAACGCTGTGTCATCGTAGTTTCCTTACTGTATAGCCCGAGGTATCACATCTCTTTCAAAAAAGTGAAAAAAGACTGAGGACGCCATCCTTGCAGTCTGCTTGTAGCTACCGCTGACCAGTTGAGAATTATGAATTTATTTTTCAGTCATAATTGCAAAAAGAAGAAAATTTACAGAGGAATGCCTTTCTAATTATTAGAGATATCAGACAACAGATCCAAAAAGATAGCAGCACACTTGATTCCACTGATAAATGTGAAATTATCTTACAAAGCAAAATCTCAGACTATGAAGTCTTCAGATGGTGACATCCTAGACGAATGTTCTCAAACCACGTATTTCTAAGGAGAAGAGGCAAAGACGATGTGTATTCTCATCCAGTTCATCACTCAACTGAGACTTCATCATGCAAAATCCTCCAAGAACCCAGATCATTCTGGTTTTCTAAAATGGTTTATGACAGTATTCTTCCATCTTTTTAAGATGTTTGTGATCAGGCATGGTGACTCACACCTGTAATCCCAGCACTATAGGAGGCCAAAGCAGGTGGACTGCTTGAACTCAGGAGTTCAAGACCAGCCTGGACATCATGACAAAACCCTGTCTCTACCAAAAATACAAAAGAAATTAGTCAGGCATGGTAGCACACAACAGTGGTCCCAAGTATATGGAAGGCTAAGATGGGAGGATCACTGGAGCCCAGGAAGCTGAGACGGCAGTGAGCCGAGATTGAACCACTACACTCAAGCCTGGGTGACAGACCAAGACCTTGTCCGGAAAAAAAAGTAAAATAAAAATTGAAGGTAAAGTTTTAAAAAATATGTTTGTGTGCCAAAATTTACTTCATTTGAGTGGAAATGTCAAAGGCAGAGGTGTATACAAAGGTAACTGCAAAAGATAATGAAATGCAAATATATTCATTAATCAATCCAACTGACTAAATATGCTAAAATCACAGAACAAAGATGGCTATCCCTTCTTTCATAGAATGAAATGCCAGTAAAAGTTCAAGTATTCAAGAACTGCATTCTGATTATCCAAGTGTAAGAATAACGAGAAGTAATGATAAACTGGAATTTATTAGAGATATTTTAAATCTGGTATCAATATTCATAAAATGGGTATAATCTGGGTTCATGTTTAATAGTTACTGAGCAGTTAAGTTACATTTAGAGAACTGCACTCATTGTGGATACATATATCATCAAAACCTAGAAAATATGAAAAAGTTGGATTTGCCATGTTTAAACTCTTACTAAAATGTCTAATAAGGCCATGTGTGGTGATTCACACCTGTAATCTCTGTACTCCAGGAGGCCAAGGTGGGCAGATCACTTGAGCTCCAGAGTTCAAGACCAGCCTGGTGAAACCCCATAACTATGTAAAATGCAAAAATTAACGAGGCATGGTGGCATGTGCCTGTAATCCCAGCTACCCCAAGTGGAAAGATCACTTGAGCCCAGAAGGTCGAGGCTGCAGTGAGTTGTGTTCACTCCACTGTACTCCAGCATGGAGTCTAATAATGGCCAGGAACTGTGGCTCGTGCCTGTGATCCCAGCGCTTTTTGAGGCCAAGGTGGGAGGATTGCTTGAGCCCAGGAATTTGAGACTGACCTGGGCAACACAGGGAGATCCCCTATCTATAAAAATATTTTTTTAATTGGCCAGATGTGGTGATGCATGCCTCTATTCCCAGCTACTTGGGAGGCTAAGGCAGAAGGATTACCTGAGACTAGGAGGTTGAAGCTGCAGTGAGCCATGATCATACCACTGTACAGAAAAAGAATATGCTAACAATCAAAAGAAAGTGCCCATTTGAAGCACTATCTTAAGAGAGGCAGCTCATCCAAGCAGACTGGAAGATCTCTTGTTAATATGTGGGTACATCAAGCCTGATCTGCTGAAAAGGTTATGTTTTTAAAACTACCTAGATCCCTTATTCTATTTTCACTAAAACATAACCATCCATTAACTTGGCTTCCTAAATAAACCATTCTTAACTGCCTGGAGGCTTTTGTAACTAAACAATGAAATGCTGAATTCAGTTTTAAACTTAGTATCATTTCTGTAAGCTTCATTAATAACCTCACCCCCGAAAAACCAAGTTACTTTCATAAAGTGACTAAATCTAAATGCCTGAATTAAAACACTACAAATTTGGCTGCGCACAGTGACTAGCACCTGTAATCCGAGCACTTTGGAAGGCAAGGCGAGCAAATCACCTGAGGTCAGGAATTCGAGACCAGCCTGGCCAACATGACGAAACCGTCTCTACTAAAAATACAAAATTTAGCTGGGCATGGTGGTGCGTAACATATATAAAAATCTGTTATCTATATTGTTTTTCTCCCCAGGCAGTTAACGCCTTCTGAATTATCACTTTATAATTCTGTTACCACACTGGAGGTATCTTTTTCATACTTTGAGTGACTGTATTATATTGTTCATATGTACAGTTTTGTAAACTTGGTGGATGGAAGCTGATGTCTCCTGAATTCTCATTACCTTAATAGTAATATGGGTACATCATTTCAATTAGTTTATTGGCTCTTCATCCTTTGTTCTGTGAATTGTCTATTTTTTGTTTGTGTAGCTTATGGTGTAGGAAATCCTTGTGGTTTACGGCTCTTTCGTTTTTTTTTCTTCAGACGGAGTCTTACCGCTGCCCAGGCTGGAGTGGCATGATCTCGCCTCAGTGCAACCTCTGCCTCCTGGGTTCAAGCAATTCTCCTGCCTCAGCTTCCCAAGTAGCTGTGATTATAGGTGCCCGCAACCACACCTGGCTAATTTTTTTTTTTTTTTTTTTTAATGGAGATAGGGTTTCACCATGTTGACCAGGCTGGTCTCAAACTCCCGACCTCAGGTGATCTACCCGCCTCAGCTTCCCAAAGTGCTGGGATTACAGGTGTGAGCTACCGCGCCCAGAAGGTTCTTTTGGAGGATAAAATGGTACATTTTAGTACTTTTCCAAACGTAAATATCATGCCTTTTGATTCTGCAATTGAACCTCTTAGAATATGTAACACTACCAGAAGATTTACATAAGATGATTACCTTTAACTCTGGTATTGTTTTCTTTTGTTAATAGCAAAAATTTTTGGTAATAATTTCAACGGCTTTTAATTTGATATATCCATACCAAATAATTTTGAAGTGGCTACAAAAAAATGAGGTAAATTTAAAATAAGGAAAAGGAGAAAGAGGAAAAAAAATTGAGGTAAATTTAAATGAGAAGACATCAAAATGTCTGCTATCCTAATTAACTGAATACAAAAATCACAAATATATAACTCAATCCCATTTTTTCAACTTAAATATTTACTTTACACATGCAAATAAAAAACTCAGAAGAGACAATCAACTCTGATAAGTGAGATTGAAGTTAGGGTTGGTGGGCAAGAGGGAAGTAATTTATAGAATTTTTTACATTAAGCTTTATTACTTTGAATGAGGGAGGCGGCTTTCAAAACGTTACCTGGTAAAGTACTAACTCAAGAGTTTCTAAACACTCTAGGTACTATGGATAGATCCTTAATAAATAGTGGCAAAAAAACCCACAAAATTCTATGGGTGGCAAGATAACACTTAAACTTTTTCCTTATATAAATTTTCAAATTTTTCAAAAGTGAAAAAACTATGACATCTTAATTTCAGATGACTTACAAAATTCTAGAGAGCAAATTTTCAGTGATGGGCAGCTATTTTAAATTTTAAAATTAAAAGCAAATTTCACCAGAGCTGAATCATAAAACATAACATGAAATATTTTTTTTTAATTCTAGATTCGATTTCTCAATCATTCAATTCTCTAACATCAATGTCTAATTTACAGAAGGGGAGGCAGGCCACAGGGGTGAGCCAGCGACTGTTCTGGAACAGGGCAGGACCTTCCTGGACAGGAATGGAAAAAGTACACTGTTAACACCACCCTCAGCACTCCACTAAGAGTAGTTTTCCCTTTAATCTGAGACTTCACGCTACCAATTTTGTGTCTGAACATCAAAAAAGTCTAAGAAGCACTACTATCAAAATATAAATGACTGCCACACATTTATATTTCTAATACATGTCCAAACCTACATCATTCCTTGCTTGACCTAACTTCTGCTTATTCAGTATCTAAAAGAAAAACACTGCACCACCAATTTTGAAAAATGAAAATGAATCAAGCCCCTTCCATCCTCACAAAAAACTAACAGAAAGAGCTACAACACTGAGAAACACGTTTTCAATAAAATCTAAAGTCCAAATGAAGACAGTAATCAGCAGCAGCAATCACTACCACACACAGCACCAGCCAGGACCCCACTTGACACTCCCTGATTTGCAGCAGTCACTTCACCACTGTTCTTCGTGCCTCCCCCACCACACATCAGTAAAATTTTCCTCAAGAACTCAAACACAACAGCTAGACTACAGTACAGGTATCCTTACAAAAAGTTACTTCTTAACTAATTGCCATTTAAAACTTCTGCCTGGATTTATGTGCACAAAGTTCACTGTGTACTATTTTGCTTTTTTGCTTTTGCGTAAGCAAAGTATAAAACTACTTGAGGGTGCCAAGAACCAGGGCCCGCATGAATGAGTAAAGCACTCACTTTACTCACTCTTTTATCCTTGACTTCTACCAAAGTGGGTACACTAAGTTAAGGTTATTAGGGGTTGCAATTATTTGACTTCCTAGCATATTACCTTAATGAGAGCTCAAAGAAAAGTTATCGTTTAAACAAATCAGGCCAGGTGAGGTGGCTCACACCTATCATCCCAGCACTTTGGTAGGCCACAGTGGGCAGACCACCTGAGGTCAGGAGTTCAAGACAAGCCTAGCCAACATGTTGAAACCCTGTCTCTATTAAAATAAAACATTTGCTGGGCATGGTGGTGGGTACCTGTAATCCCAGCTACTTGGAAGGCTGAGGCAGGGGAATCACTGGAACCTGAGAAAAGGAGACTGCAGTGAGCTGAGATCGCTCCACTGCACTCTAGCCTGGGTACAGAGCAAGACTCCATTGCAAAAAAAAAAAAAAAAAAGTAAAATAGAATTGGCAGATAACCAAATCACTTGCAGTGCTTAGTACAGAATATGCATATTTAAAACGTTGGTAAATGATCAGATATTGTGGCTCACACCTGTAATTCCAGCACTTTGGGAGGCTAAAGCAGTCGGATCACCTGAGGTCATGAGTTCAAGACCAGCCTGGGCAACATTGTGAAACCTCGTCTCTACTAAAAATACAAAAATTAGCCAGGCATGGTGGCACATGCCCGTAATCCCACCTACTTGGGAGGCTGAGGCAGGTGAATTGCTTGAACCCAGGAGGCAGAGTTGTAGTGAGCCAACATCGTACCACTGCACTCCAGCCTGGGAGACGAGGGAAACTCCATCTCAAAAAAAAAATAAATAAAATGTTTGTAGAGTCGGGAGTGGCGGCTCATGTCTGTAATCCCAGCAATTTGGGCACATGCCTTTAGTCCCAGGTACTTGGGAGGCTGAGGCAGGAGAATGGCTTGAACCTGGGAGGCAGAGGCTGCAATGAGTCAAGATCGCACCACTGCATTCCCGCCTGGATGACAGAGTGAGACTCCATCTCAAAAAAGAAAAAAAAAGTTTGTAAAAACACTGAGATTTCATCAGTCAAGTTCTCCTATCCCAATTCCCATAACCCACCCTACATATATAGTAGGTACAAACAACAGAAACTTAAAAGTCTTTCGATACTATCAAGCAACTTTCAGTGAGAAATATGTTTAAGAAATTTGAGCACAGTGGCCAGGCGCGGTGGCTCACACCTGTAATCCCAGGATTTTGGGAGGCCGAGGTGGGTGGATCACCTGAGGTCAGGAGTTCAAGACCAGCCTGGCCAGCATGGTGAAACCTCATCTTTAAAAAAAAAGAAATTTGAGCACAAAGGAGGAATGGTATCAGTTTCTTAAAAATTGAAAAAAAAAATTATATTCATCAAATCACCATTGCGGTTCTATTTGAAAATTATTTCTAGGTTTCTGGTTATATAACCACAAATAATAACACGAAAAAGGCAGACATCCAAGATCTACTAAGTGTGAAAAAAAGCAAGATATAAAGAAGCAGTATAACATGATCCCACTTTTATTCTGAGAGATCGGGCTGGGGGGTGGAGGGAGAGAGAGAGAGACAGACAGACACACACGCCTGGAAGAACATGCACAACATGAACAGTGTTTTATTAATCTCTGAGCAGTGATTTCTTTCCCTCGTCCTTTATTACTTTTATTTTTTTGCTTTTCTGTACTTTTTAATTTTTCCTCAGACATTTCTATAATATTCTACAAGGCAAAAAAGCTAGCTACACTATTTCACATTGTTACATAGAAACTCTGTTAATGAACACTATAGTAAAATAACTGTCATTTCATAAAGACACCAGGCAAATCATAAGACATATTATTTAAAGTAAATAGGAAAAAGAAGGAATAGAATAACACCATAGCACATAGTGTTCTATGCCAGGTTCTTTTAAAAATTCAAATGCAGCCTGGGAGTGGTGGCTCACGCCTCTAATACTAGCACTTTGGGAAGTTGAGGCAGATGGATCACCTGAGGTCAGAAGTTTGAAACCAGCCTGACCAACATGGAGAAACCCGTCTCTACTGAAACTACAAAATTAGCCAAGCGAGATGGTACGCATCTGTAATCCCGGCTACTCAGAAGACTGAGGCAGGAGAATCACTTGAACCCAGGAGGTGGAGTTTGTGGTGAGCTGAGATCGCACCATTGCACTCCAGCCTGGGCAACAAGAACAAAACTCTGTCTCCAAAAAAAAAAAAATTCAAATGTACTATCATCCATGACTTCCAAATTATAATGATAAAAGTCTACAAAACTAACAATGGGACAGGTGAGATCTATTCTGACTCCAAAACTCAAGCACGGCTAGATTGCACAGCCATTACCACCAATAGAAAGAACAGAGAAAAGGAATTAGATTTATCCTCCATCAACTATGCTAATTTTCCTAAAAGAATATTTAAATACAAAAAATAGACACCACAAGAAAATAAACTTAAAAATACATACCTCTACTTCATCTCCTTCACTAATTTCTTTTTTTATATCAGGTGGTGGTGGTAATCTAACTTCATTAAATGGAACCTGGCGTTCTGGCTGCCAACTGAAGGATTAGAAAATGTGTATTAACAATTTAAAAATAGACAGTCTATGCTTGGTGCTGCATATTTTTTCAAATTAGTTTACCATTTAGCTTTCCCTAAAGAGAAGAAAAACAACCTTCATACTATTAATATAATTTCCCAAGTACTTACTGAAGTAGAACAGATTTTATATGACTCTTGATGAAGTCCATAATTAACATAATTGATAGCAACTGTACATTACCTCCCAAATTACTCATCTTAAGAGCAGTACACACATTCTCCCAAATTATTCATCCTAAGAGCAGTACATACATTATTCTGCAAATGAAATAAGTTCATAATGATGACTAACTTCAAATCAAAATGTCGTATCAACACAGCTGCCCAATAGTAGTGAGATCAACTTATTTCAAATACTTTTACAACTATATGACCTATCAATAAAGGAAACACAATTTCATAGATTACAAAACAATATAAACTGTGTAACTTTTTAATATACATGTTCACCGAAACACAGAAAATAAATCAGCAATTATTTTGAATATCTGAATTACAAAAGATTACTTTTCTCATTTTCCATTTATCTTTCCTATAGTGGATACATACATTACAATGAGAACATAGAAAAAGCTTACTTTTAACTCTGTAGCAAATATCAATGTATTAAACCACTAACTTATCACTTAACTGACATTTTTTTATGTTGTATTTTAAAAGCTGAATTTATAAAGTTAAAAATTCTTCCCAACTGTAATATCTCACAGGTCATTTACATGTCTGGGAAGTATACTATGACATAAAATGTCCCTCGAGTTTCTATCTGCCAAGGCTAGGCAAAGCAGCAGCTGACAAAAGATTTGGGGATGCTTTCATCATTACTGTCCAAATGGCAGCTGCTCCAAGAACTCATCTCAACACTTGTTTCTACATGAAGCAGCAGCAGCTGTTAGGCAGAGATTTCAGGCAATTCCACAAACAGCTTAAAAGTAAAAGCTGAACAGTTTTTTTCTGACCATCAATTAAACAGTTCCTTTTTTATTTTTTTTTAAGACATAGTTCGCTCTTGTTGCCCAGGCTGGATGCAATGGCAGTCTCCGCTCATTGCAACTCCCGTCTCCCAGGTTCAAGCGATTCTCCTGCCTCAGCCTCTTAAGTAATTGGGATTACAGGAACCCCATCACCAAGCCTGGCTAAGTTTTTTGTATTTTTAGTAGAGACAGGGTTTCACTACGTTGAGCAGGCTGTCTGAAACTCCTGATCTCAGGTGATTTGCCTGCCTCAGCTTTCCAAAGTGCTGGGATTACAGGTGTGAGCCATGACACCCAGCCCAGTGCTCTTTTATAACCCTTCCTAACCAAGCCCAACATACTGTCTTCCCCATTTTTAGACTCCATACCCCTTAAAGCAATTAAAGATGGCTTAATACTTATTCTGATGACCAGTAGTCAAGTGGAAAACCTTCTACAACATCATTTGAACATTCTCAGCTTTTAAGCATTAAGCATATTATCATCTAATTTGTGCCACTGATTCATATCCATACATGTTCTGGCAAAGAGTTATGAAAAAAGTAACAAGTAAATTATGGACAGAAAAACAGGTAAAGAGTTATCAAAACTAAACTTAAGATCAAACAACCAACCCCCCCCCCCACACACACACACACCCTCCAAAAGCAAAATCATTTTTCCAGTGGCAGCAGGAACACAAAAAGCAAACAGTTTGGCACTGCCAATCTCTAAAATTAAGATCTCTGCCAACAAAAATAACTTACTTATTTTCAAAAACAACTGTAAGAGAGTCTTCATGAACATCTTTGATAAATCCCTGCAAAACACAAAAACATTATTAAAAACATATCAATATGAGGCACTTCATAACTCTACAAGGCTGTATTCAAGATACAAAGTATGGAATACTGAAAGGACACAGGGTTTGGAATTAGGCAGATGTGAGTTTGATTTCCATCTTTACCATTTATGAGATATATGATCTTTTTTAAGTTACATAACCTCTTGAACCTCATTTTTCACCTTGTGTCATCTACCTGGAATTAGCAAAAGTAATTGTGCATCACTGGAACATCTCAGGTATTAGTTCAGCAAGACAGTTACTTAGTATTGTGACTAAGAGTTCATTATTTACTACTGTGACAAAGAGTTCAAGCTCTGGAGTACTGGCTCCCAGGATTCATAACCAAGCCCTATCACTTTTATATTCCCAAATATAGTTTTGACCTAATGAAATTAATTACAGTATCATGCACCTAATGAAAAATTATGAGAACTAAATGAAGTAATATTTAGCACAGAAGTACTACTGGCCGGGCGCGGTGGCTCACGCCTATAATCCCAGCACTTTGGGAGGCCAAGGCCGATGGATCACGAGGTCAAGACATTGAGACCATCCTGGTCAACATAGTGAAATTCCATCTCTACTAAAAATACAAAAAATTAGCTGGGCAGGGTGGTGCGCGCCTGTAGTCCCAGCTACTCAGGCGGCTGAGGCAGAATTGCTTGAACCCAGGAGGCAGAGGTTGCGGTGAGCCAAGGTCGCGCCACTGCACTCCAGCCTGGGTAACAGGAGTGAAACTCCATCTCAAAAAAAAAAAAAAAAGAAGTGCTATCGATATTACAGTCCACCTTCAGTAAAATGTATGACTAGATTTTGAATATTACCTTTGCCATTAACTTAATCTTATTTTTCCTAGATACTTCTCTCCTTCCCTTAAAAGTAAACTGGGCTATAGTGAGTACACTGTTCACAACTATGACGGAATGAATACAGTCTCAACAACTGGTTGTCATTTATCAGCCTTAAAATTAATATTAAAATTAGCCTTTGTACCTATCTTCCTTGGTTTAATACAGCTGAAATAAACCATTAAGGTCTGACATAACAAAGAGCAAAGGACTTGAGTGTAGAATTATTGTTGCTGAAATCCTGATTCCACTACTATGTAACCTTAGGCAAGCTGTCCCTTGGCACTTGTATAATTACCATTAACATTAAATGACTTTATATTACTATGAATCAGAACTGCAGATTGCTCAATGTTAGTCAAATGCTATACACACTCAACCACTGGGAACATAGGAAATACTTTTCTGAAACATCTTTATCACACTAGACTCCATAATGTCCACAGCAAACTAGCTACATAAACACATGTATGCAGTATCTGGTCAAAGCATGGCAAAATGAGCACTCCTTCCCCAAAAGTCCATTAAGTAACACTAAAGACGTCTGAATAAACCCAAAAGAGAATAAAGTGAAAAGACAAACTTGCAACAGCAACAAAATTTTTTTTAAAACTTACACAGTAAATGGAAGATTAACAGTAATAAAACGAAGCTTTGGGAGGCCGAGGAGGGTGGATCACCTGAGGTCAAGAGTTTGAGACTGGCCTGAACAACATGGAGAAACCCCGTGTCCACTAAAAATACAAAATATTAGCCAGGCTTGGTGGCGCATGTCTATAATCCCAGCCACTCGGGAGGCTAAGGCAAGAGAATCGCTTGAACCCGAGAGGCGGAGGGTGCAGTGAGCCGAGACCACGCCACTGCACTCCAGCCTTGGCAACAAGAGCAAAACTCCATCACACACACACACACACACACACACACACACACTGCTATAGTGCTCTACCTTGTAATTCTGGATATGAATTAATCCTTCCTAAATTTAATTAGAAGAGTTGCCACTCTAGTTCAGGCTCTGATTATCCGACCATGATATACTGATGACTTCTGGCCAGTTTCTCTGTTTCTAGTAGGGCACATTCTTATTGATTGATTGATTGAGACAGAGTCTCATGCTGTTGCCCAGGCTGGAATGCAGTGGTGCAATCTTGGCCTCCTGCCTCAGCCTCCTGAGTAGCTGGGAGTACACCAACCACACCCAGCTAATTTTCTGTATTTTTAGTAGAGATGAGGGTTTTGCCATGTTGGCCAGGCTGGTCTCAAACTCCTGACCTCAGGTGATCTACCCACCTGGGCTTCCCAAAGTGCTGCGATTACAGGCGTGAGCCACCACACCTGGCCCACATTCACTTTTTTTCAACAATCACTCTGGTCAGCTCATTCACCATATGTTACCAGCAAATATATCTAATATTATACCCTTGCCATTTTTTAACAAATTTCAGAAACTGAGAATATCCATGTTTATGATTAGTAAAGCATCAGAAGACAGCCATATTTTTACCTTCCACTAACATTTTCTAGCTCTTCAACAAACTCACACAAAGTTTGAAAGGTCTCAGAAACTAATCTTTCTAGGTCTGTATAAATCATATATGGTGGATTAGTTCAAATCAGAACTCTAAGCCACTAGAAAATTTCACTCTCCGTTCTCAACTTTATAAATGTTTTCCCTCACTCTCCTTTGTAATAAGGTTTTTTTCTATCTAAAAACCAGCACTCTACCTTTCTTTTTTCAAATTTTTCACAAAGTTTGAAGCATAGCTCTGTACACATCTACTATTTTTTTTTCCTGAGACGGAGTCCTGCTCTGTCGCCAGGCTGGAGTGCAGTGGCGCCATCTCGGCTCAATGCAACGACTCCCTGGTTGAAGCAATTCTTCTGCCTTAGCTTCCTGAGTAGCTGCTATTACAGGCACACACCACCACATCCAGCTAATTTTTGTATTTTTAGTAGAGATGGGGTTTCACCATGTTGGCCAGGCTGGTCTCAAACTCCTGACCTAATGATCTACCTGCCTCAGTCTCCCAAAGTGCTGGGATTACAAGCGTGAGCCACCGCACCAGGGCCCTTTGCACATCTACTTTTATTGCCAGCATCATTCCGCCATGAGCTTTACTAGATTAAGGCCTGATACCTAGTCCTTAAAATGTATTTGGACTGTGGTGAAGAATTTTTAATATCCTACTCCATAAAATCTAATCCCCAATTCCTAAATGTTAGACAGACATGCTTCTAATGGCCAGATTTCTGTCAAATTGAGCCCACGTGATACAGGACACAGTCAATACTTTTAAAGGTATTTTTGGACTCTCCAAGTCACCAGAATGATGCTAGGTCCCCTTACCTGCTCAAAAGACCCAAATTGACAGGGTTGGGTCTTTACCAAAATCTGACAGGAGACACCAGTAACAGCCACATTTGTCTGAACATGGCAGGGGCTTTATGCCTTTAAGTCTCCGTAACTTCTATCCTCAGTCCCCATCTCTCTTCCGATTCATACTTACCTGCGCCAGGCCCCATTATTTCTCAAAACAAAGCCTTTGACATTTCTTTTTCTTCTTCCCATACATATGCAGACATGGAAGATTTCAAGGCATCCTTATTAAATGGTCACCTGTCTTGTTCACTCACACAGTCCAATATATGTTTACACTTGAAACTCTTAACTATAAGATAATCATTAATAAATAGGCAGTATAACACATCTCAAGTGTATTCAAATGTTCACAGCTTGCTGCAGATAAACAGAAAAACTTAAAATGTACCCATAACTCTGACAAAACAACAAATAGGCATCATATAATAAAAAACCAGAAATGCCATAAACTAAATGCAAAATGAAGGTAGGCATGGAAGGAGTAGAAGGAATCCCTGAGCAGTAAAAAACCACTATCTGAAGAACTAATTTCAAAAGCAATCTAGTATAAAACAATTTTTTTAAAAAAGGTTCTTAGTCAAAGATCCACTTGAGCGTCAAGTTAATCCATTAGCTTTCTAGATGTAAACAAGCAGCTGTAAAATAATTTTTTACAAAAAATGTTCTACTTACAGCAACAGCCAAAAAATAAACCCTACAAGTGTTCTCAACAAAAATATGCACTGAAGCTATGCACAAAAATGGCTGAAGCTCTAATAAATAGAAAATTCAGAATAATGTAAAATACCATGTTCTTAGAGACCTTGATATTACGAAAATTTCAATATGCCCCTAACATTACCCTATTCCTTCAATGGGATCCCACAGAAATACTGAGGAAGAGTGTGTCTGTGTTGGGCAAGGAGGGGGAAGGTGGGTAATAAAATAAGTCTATCTCAAAGAAAATTTTTAAAAAGACAGCAGCATTTTAAAAGGAAACTTCTAAAATGGGGTAGGGGGGCTGGAGTGGGAGAGAACAATAACATTCTATACTTAACACACTTTAAAGATTATTTTAAAACTACAATAATGAAGATGGAAAATATATTTTAAAGGAACACAACACAGACTCCAAAAGTAGGCCTAAGTCACTTAGGAATTTATAAATAGGGAAGGAATAGATTCTTTTTAACATGGTATTGGAACATTTAAATAATTCATGAGGAAAACAGAAATGGATGTCTTCACCCAAAAACAAAAACAAAAACAAAAAAAAGATAAAACATTCAAACTTAAAAAAAAAAAAAATCAATAAAGATTTCAGGAGAAAGCAGGAGCCAATGGAAGGCCTTTCTAACCAAAAAAGCAAAGCCCCAAAACCACAAAGTTTGATAAAAGTATACTACCCGGAAGCTAAAATATAAAAGCATCACATACAAAGGAGAAAGGGGAACAGGGGCCGAAACAACATATAACAGGGTTAAATCCCCAATTACAGGTATCCTCAGGTGAGTAAGAACTAGCTGATAGAAAAGGTATCAATGGATATAAACCAGCTGAACAAGTAATTCACAGGAAAAAATGTAATTTTAATAATGTAAAACTCTCCTTTAAAGTGTTACATATTTGTTACAATTTGTTCTGAACTTTTTCTCTTCAGTTTTGTCTTGTAGATCCTACCTTATTATAATATAAAGATCTACTCCTTTTTTTTAGATAATGCTGAAATGGTCTGTGGAAAGAAAAAGGTACACAGGATATCTGCC